CAGGATCTTCATCTGAACATAAGACGAGTGGTTGTTCACGGTGATCTTCTGGTACGTTGTCTAGGATAGGTTTGTAATTACTGGACCATTTGCGTAAAGTGAATCCTCCTAAATCTAACAGTTTGATGAGTTCACTCTGTAGCTGCAAAGCTTGTTCTGGTGTGTCAACACTGGTGCATATGTCATCAACAAAGGTCTGATGCAGAATGGCGTTTGAGGCTAGAGGGAATCGCTTTCCTTCATCTTTGACAAGCTGCAACAAAACTCGCTGGGCTAGGAATGCACTTGATGTGACACCATACGTGAGAACGTTGAGTTCATACTCCTCAATAGGTCCGTTTGGTAAGGTTCTGTAAAATATGTGCTGCAAACTCCGTTGCTCAGGAGCTACAACAATCTGTCTATACATCTGCTTAATATCTGAACACACAACAATGGAATGAAGACGAAAGTTTGTTATAATTTCAGTTATATCCTTTTGCAGCTTAGGACCTGGGAACAAATTGTCATTTAATGACTTATCATCATTTTTAGGTTTGAAAGAGGCATTGAAAACTACTCTGAGTTTGGTAGTGCTACTATCTTCTTTCCTTACACAGTGATGAGGGATGATGTACGTAGAGGGGGTAGTCGCAATGCTCATGTGACCTTGAGCAATGTAGTCATTCAAAAAGTCCCTATACTCCTGATACATCGTTGGGGTTTTCTTCAGTCTTGATTCTAAATTTATTAGACGGTGCTTAGCGATTTCTCTTGTGTTAGGTAACGAAATGTTGTCTGATCTTACAGGCAGTGAAACTACGTATCTATTTGTTTCATCACGAAAATGAGTAGTTTGAAAATGATTTTCAGTCTCAATGTCTTCAGGATTGATAGGTTTCTTAGTGTTTACTGACTCTGTTTCCCAAAATCTTTTGATTGATTTATCTACAGACTCACAGCAGGTCAGAAAGTATGAGTTTTCATTTGTAGAAGAAATGCTTGGTACTTTGCCACCAATAATCCATCCAAATATGGTTGCCAAAGCGGAAGGTTGACCTTTGATTATATTGTGTGAGTCCAGAATAATATCATAGTACAAGTCAGATCCTAACAAAAAATCAATGGGTGCACTTTGGTTAAAAGTGGGATCAGCTAGCTTTAAATTAGAGAATTTTGACTGTACAGAGCGATCTAATTGGATGTTAGGTTGATCAGAAGAAATTTTAGGTACCACTATCGCTTCAGTTGTCAATTCAGTTTCAGGTGTAGAGATTGGGCTTATACTGCACATTACAGAGCCTTTGTTTTGGGAGACAGATGTATTAGCTACAGCCATAAGCGTAATTTTGCTGTAACGTCTTTTTAGACCAAGGCGTTCAACACATTCTGTAGTAATTAAACTAGTTTGTGATCCTCCATCGATGATGGCCCTTACCTGTTTTAGTTCACCATCGTTATCACGGATGCCAATAATAGCAGTACTCAGTAGCATGTTTGTACTTGAATAAGTATTAGTGTAGTGGCAAGTCTTAGGTTCTACATTATTTCCAGCATTAGGCTTAGACTCTGTCACTTGACTGTTATCTGAACGATGTAGGAGAGTGTGGTGTTTACCAGAGCATTTGAAACACTTAGACTTAGATTTACAATCAGATATCATGTGAGATCCGAGGCAAGAAAAACATAAGGCACTCTTTTTAGCTTGATCATATCGTTGCGCTACACTCATGCCTTTAAATTTTGAACAACCATAAATCTTGTGAGAGATGTCCTGACAGCACGGGCACGTTAATGGAGCATTCTTCCCTTTATCGTAGTGAATTGTATTCACAGTAGAGAGCATTGCACTGCGAGAGCTTGATGGCTTAGAGAACTGGGTAGGTTTGTGAGGTTTTGATTTTCCCTTGGGATCATTAGTGATTTCTAGAATTTTGAGCTGTTGTTGGACAAATTTGATTAGGTCTTCAAACTTTGGGATATCATTACTTGAATGATGACTTTCAAAATCCTTACGAGTGTTTGGTGTCAAAGAGCGTAAACCAATGTGGAGCATAGTGAAATCAAATAAATCGTCAATGCCAAGAACTTTCACAGCTGACAAATTACTATTGAATACTTCCATGAAGTTTGAGAAAGAGTTAGTTGAATCCTCTGTCATTTGGCGAAAAGATAATATTTTGTCAAGATAACAAGAAGCTAATAATCTTTTATTCTGGTATCGTTCAATTAGAATTTGCATTGCAATGTCATAATTGTCATCTGATATGGCCAGAGTGTCAATGAGAGAGAGTGCGTGAGATTTTAGTAAACTACGTAAATATGTAAGTTTTTCTACCTTGGTTAGGCAAGTGTTCTTATGGATCATAGAGGTGTAGAGGGCATAAAAGTTTGGCCAAGCTGTAATTGATCCATCAAATGGTTCAATTTCCAGTTTTGGTAGTCTTGCTACTTGAGAAGATTGTGTTGGGACAGATGATTGAGTAGTTTCCGGTTTACTTTGTGTATTTAATTTCCCTACATTCATCTTACGAGCAATTGTCTTCACATTGAAATAAATCTCATCATATGCCAATGAAGCTTTATTAACATCAATTTTTTCACCCTCTTCTACCTGAGTGTTTACAACATTTATTTCGTCAGATATTTGCTCAAAAGCCTCATAATCATCTTCGATTCGCTGGAAGCGAGAAACAAAAGAGTCTAACTCAGCAGTATAGCTTTGTTTTTGTTGAGCTAACTGTATACATTTTTTGCCAACATCATATAGAGCTTGTAGTCTAGCAAAATATTTTTCTCTCCTTTTAACAAGTGTTTCTAACTGGACAGTAGGTCGGGGAGTCATGTTTGCAGATTAAGTTTATATGACCAAGGAGGTATAGGTAGGTATAGGAAACCCTAGAGAAAAATAAAGCAACTTAAAAAAGTTAAAACAAACTACAAAAGAATTTAAACTTATTTATGCTCTCCTTTTGCAAAACAAAAGAAATTACCAACTTTAAAGTTACTGTAATCCATCCGGCTCGAAGGACCATTAATTTGTTGAGTCGTAGAGAATTTTAAATCTTAAAAATTCTATTCTCAAAATGTATTAATTTAATTTTACCCAAAGGCAATCGGAGAGCATGAAATAAAAACTCTGCTTCTCAGTTCACACACTTTTTAATATCAGGTTTTAAAATTGGATATATTGAATTATGACAAGAACTGTTATATTAGATTAGAATATTAAATGAAATCTTCCGGAAGGTTGAAACTTTTAAATCCTAAAAATCTGATAGAAATATTGTAAGAGTATTTTGAATAATTGCTAAATAAATTAAGTTAAAAATTATTTTCTACTTGCGGAGTCTTTCTTGAGAAGTCCAGGTTGTGGTGAGTTTCAAGTGAGGTCGTGACGTGGGTAGCGAAGCGGTTGTAAGAGGGTTGGAGCCGGCGATGTCGTCTGGGAAGGTTGCAGAGGGTTGGCCTCAAAGGAGTAGCTAGGAGAGTAGAGGTTTGACGTAGAGAGACTCTGCTAGTGGTCCAGTGATGCCCGTAGAGGAGAGGGATGACTTGAGCTTAAAAGTGGCGTGCAGGTTGACGACAGGAGAGAATTACCAGTCCATTCACTTGTAGAGGTTTCATCCAAATATTAATACTGAAGATTTACTTCATTCACTTCACATCACTGTCACTGATACACTGAACTGTACTATTATGTTCTAACATTGGTTATAATTAAAAGAGAGAATTTAGACTACATTTTGAATCTATAACTACAATATATTTGAGGACATGTTAACTAGAAGGCAGTAGTGTGTAGACTGAGACAGAGCAAAAAGTGAAAGCATAAAACAAGAACAATACTGTCTGGCAGATAAGGAAAACGAATATAGATAAAACCAACAATAATGGAATGCATTGGAAATACCAATGTCCAGCCAGTCCATTCATTACTTTTATCAGTAGTTTATTCTGATATTATATTCAAAACTCTACACTACTAGATGTGGACAATTTCTTGTCCCTGTGTCCCAGGGGTATATTTAGCATGTATTGTCACAGCTTAACACATGGTAAATCTCTTGTTGTAAAATACATTAAATATACATAACAAGCATAGGCCTACACAGTTTTGTACAATATGACGATTTACACCTTTTGATATTTGTAAGTACTCTAACCTCATTTTCTGCAACCACGTAAAAAAATATATTGTGCAATTTTTAAAGTTTTTACAATAACTTTATATTTGCCATGTATTAGCCTGGGATTGTACACACAAAAACAGCACCTACAAACAGCTCCTGAAAAAAGCAGATGGTACCTCTGGGACATAGGGCAAAACAACTATCCATATCCAGTGAATACCGTTATAGACAATGCATTTTTAAATTCCATTTTGTAGCCCCTGAACTGCTTAGTATAAACTAAATTAAAACATACCTCGTCTTGCAGTTCAAATAAATAGTGTCTTTTTCAATCCACTACATGTTTCGCAATGTTGGCATTTTCAAGTGGTGTACAGAAACATTGAAACATTATAATATCCGAATTGGACTCGTCAAATTGTAGAAATTTACATTTAAAGACAAAACTGTACATACATTTGACACATACGAACGAAACATTATCATGTAGGCCTACAACACTTATTGCAACCCGATCACGGCACTGACTGAGACAGAACGGTTCAGACGGTGTTCTGGGACAGACGGTGTTCTGTCTCAGTCAGTGCCGTGATCGGGTTGCAATAAGTGTTGTAGGCCTACATGATAATGTTTCGTTCGTATGTGTCAAATGTATGTACAGTTTTGTCTTTAAATGTAAATTTCTACAATTTGACGAGTCCAATTCGGATATTATAATGTTTCAATGTTTCTGTACACCACTTGAAAATGCCAACATTGCGAAACATGTAGTGGATTGAAAAAGACACTATTTATTTGAACTGCAAGACGAGGTATGTTTTAATTTAGTTAATGCATTTTTACAACTAAAAGTACACTAAGAGATTTAAAAAAGTGTAAAAAACTTACACCACAATCATTTGCCCCATCTCCAACCATGGCAACAATGTAATCCATCGACTGAAGGACTTCGACAAGTTGAGTTTTGTGGTTGGGAGACATTCGAGCAAACACAATACATTTGGTGGCAATCACCCCCACCATGGAGGGGAAATGGGTCCTTAGTAAAGACCAGTTAGTGCCATCTATGGCAAGATACCCTGAAGATGGGCCCATGGACAGTATATCTACCTAGAAAAATGAATAATAAATTAGTTTTAGGATGAAAAAGTACTGGGTAGGAGGAAAACATTGAAGAAAAGAAATTAACACAATTTACCTACCCAAAAAGAGTTCCACCAAGTTGACAGCACAAAAAGTTCACAATCCATTTCATATTTTTCCCATACAAGGGGCTTTTTCAGAAGGAATTACAGTAGTAGTAGAATGGCTGTAACCATATGTGTTTGGACTATCTCAGTTAGAGTTTTTTTAATGCCATTCTATCAGTCCCTTCTAAGGAAGCCCCAATTTAGGGAAAATGTCATATTAATGTTATTGTGAAAGTTTTGTGTGTTGTGTTATGGAAGTCTATTTGGGCAAGTAATTGATTACTGATTCAAACAACTGAAACACAGTACAACAACAGTTTCATATTGCTTTGAAATTAAAACTTACACATAATATACATTTACTTTTCAATTGTACAACCCCAAAAGTCAAAAGATGGATGCAATTGCAATAGATATTTTTATGTTTCATTGAGTAAAAAGTGTAACAAGATATAAATGTTTATTACTTTGTAACCCAAGCTTTATTAGTTACATAACCTGGTTCAATATAAAGTTCAAGAGACTTTTTATGAATGAACTATAAATTAAACACAAAAAAAAACTTACGAAGTCTGGCGAAGTCAATATGGAAAGTGATTTCAGTCGGATGACAGGATTTTCAGGGTCATTTTTCAGGTCAACAGTGACCAATGAGAGAGGACAATCCCTTGGTAACATTCCACACTCTCTACTCACACTAACAGCTGTCAGTAGATTGTCTCCTGTAAAATAAAAAACATTCTATTAATAATAACAAGTGACTTGAAAACAAAAATCTCATAACAGGCCTTTAATGTCTCATCAGTTAAAATGAAAAATACCTGAAACTAACAAATCATGGTGAAAAAGGCTAACTTTGTATAAGCCATCTCTTAGCACTTTGAGCCCCAAAAGCAATCAGGATACAACAAAACCTTCAATACAACAATCTGTGTGAGAATAACTCAAAGAGAAACAGCTCTCTGATATGGGCTGCAGCTTAACAACTACTACCGGCATCCAATGATTAGGTACTTTTAGTAATCAAGTTTAAGGGTCTAACATTTTTTATTTTAATCTTTTTTCAAGCTATATTAGTATGTTCGGCAGAGTCATGTGCAATTAGCAGTCGAGCACGGTTGGCAACTATAAGGAACGAAAGGCAAACGTTAGTTGCCCTAGATTGAATTTTTAGGTGTTTGATTTTTTATTTATCTATTTACAACCATCATATCTACATTACATATCTACATTTTTTTTTTATTGTTGGCAATTTATATTTCTACTCAAATAAGATGAAGCACAATAAAACACTGCAATATTGGCCCATCAGCCAATGATTTCCTTTTGACAACCTATAATTAGGAGTATTTTTGCTAGTCATGCAACAACGGCTGATTTTAAAAGAAGTTCAGTAATCCAGCATTTTTAATAATCCAGATACTTCGAAGTCCTGAAAGATCCAGATTAACAAGCATCTACTTTATTGTTAGTGGGGAAGGCTATTTAATATGCTATTTTTAGTGATGGGTCAATTCCAGAAATTTGTCAATTCCAATTCTGTTTTGATTTTTTAAAATCGATTCTCGATTCCGATTCCATTATGTTAAGAACATTTCCCGCGGCATGTAGACATCGTCATTGTCTCCTGCAGTCACGGCAGCCCTCTGAATAACCCCCACGGTAAAGAAAACATCATTGTGTTTGACGATCGCGATAAAATTTTGTTCACGTGTAGACATCGTCATTGTCTCCCGTGGTCACGACAAAACCCCGAATAACCCCCACGGTAACGAAACATCAGCACTGTATTCCACGATCACGGCAGTGTTTTATTAATAGCGGAATCGACCCATCCCTAGCTATTTTAATACTGTAAAACATTGATGTTTTTTTTTGAAGAAATTAGATATATTTACCTGTGACCATTACACACTTGATCCTTGCTTTCTGCAGTTCACTGATAACCTGCCTGGACTTGGGCTTTAAAGTATTCTGCATCAAAAGTAATCCAAGAAATGTGAGATCTTTTTCCACCTATGAAAACAAAAAGAGTAGAAAATGAATACTATACAATAGACTGAAAACATATGCAAATTATTTTTATGATCTGGGGCCTGTTTCGTAGCGAAATAAAAGTTACAAGCTGTTACTAGTAACTTGTAATTTCCATTAGATTTGCATTGCATTTGCATTTCCCCCGAGGGTACTTTTTTTACAAAAGTTAAAAGCAAAAGCGTTATTACAAAATACTATGAGCTCAGGCTCAGAAGTTTGTTCAATAACGTTGTAGAGAAAATTAGGATACAGGTTAAATACTGGGTAGCACATAATTCCAGACAAAACAACACTTTACTGCTTTACTCTAAGCAAAGGGTGTTGAATCTTATTACCAAAGTTATCTTTTACACTGATGTGAAATTACAATGGAAATCAATATTTATCTCCTGAGTGCTTTGCTGAACTATCTGTAGTATTTTAATAATTGTAGATGTTAGCCTACGATCGCCGAATAATATTAAAAAGGATTATCTTAGATGGATTGCCTAAAAGCGAATATTTAAACATTTTAAATCTATAGTACATACCTCATGTCGTTGGGATCGTTGAGCTTGCAGCCAGGTAAATTTGCGAGGCAGCTTGTTGTACGCTAGGGCTATCACACGGTAACCACGAGCAGTGTACTCACACAAGACAGTCTCAATGTTATCAGGTACTGTGACAAACCAAGGAGATTAAGAATGTATCAAATATATGTAGGAAGACCTCGACTAAACGAAGTAATTGAGGGTAAGGTACCACAGGCAACTGGAAACCAATGAACTTTGAATTTACTATTTACGCCTCCTTGAAGTTGCCATTAGGAAAAATTACTTGATCAAATATCTCAATATTGTTATTGAACTAGTAAGTTAATACTTGTGGTATTTTCTTGGGCTTAGTTGTGAGTTTCAGTTTGTGGATAATGTGCCACAAAGTAGATCCACCTAGGATGATCGAAATTCTTCCTTGTTGAATTAAATTAAATCCTCTTAAATTATCAGTGCATTACAAAACCTAAACCCTGGAGGGATACAATTTTTGTGAGTGTAATTTACAAAAACTCAAACATTGCAGTGATAAAGATATGGTACAGGTTTATACCTTCATAAATTTAACCAAACAAAGATTTTTGGCATAAAATTGGAGCTCAACTAGTTTTTGTTGTATTTTTTAAACGCAAAACCTTAGATGCAAAATTCTATAAGGTAACCTCTAACTTAAAAAGTTTAAAGAAAATGGCAAAATGTATCAAAAAACGTATCAAATGTATCAAATGTATGTAAAACGTCGCCTCTTAAGTTTCAAAGAATTTGAACCCAGTGCAATGTGTACTTCTTCGTATAATGTTTTTACAAATTCATATTTACCTGAACTGGGAAGACAGATGTTGACTATACTCTCGGGAGCACCCTTAGTGAACACGGTCATGTGATTGGAGCCGAGGACTCTGGCAATGACAGTCATCGTCATGGAGGTGGTGTTGAATGGAAACTGCTTCACTACACCTATTTCATAAGGCATCTGAAATAAAACACACAATAGAATAAAATACTAGTACCACTTATTTGGGATGTTTTGAATAAAGTAGTAATACTGGTTTCAATGTGATTGAAATTCAAACATTTATTTGATGCTTACCTCAAAAATAGTTTCCCCCTCGTCAAGGTTGTCAAGCATTTCATCGAGTATCTGGAAAAACATGTAAACATTAATGTATAATATAAACTATGTAGTTAATGTTAGGCTTAGGTATACAGGGTGAAAAAAGTGTTGGGACAGTTAAACATAAAAAAATAACAAAGATTGAGCTACAAACAATTTGTATAAACTTCCTAGAGGCATTAAAATCATTTAACCTCCAACCGTTTTTTAAAGTAGCTGTTTCGGTTCAGTTCTTAGAATTGAACATAACAGCATTGCTGTTTACTTTCATAACAGCATAGTTTTACTCATAACAACACGGGTAACGAACCAATGAGCAAGAATTGAGAGAGAAGAAGTAAAATTGTAATGATTTGAACTTCAACTAATCACCTGTTCAGACCAATTTAATTGTTGAGTGGTGCAATTAGTGTTTGCTACAATGTTTCGTTGCATCACCGTCAGTGGCTATGAAACAGAAACATAACCTCTCTTAGAAGTTTTGAGTAGTGATTTTTAGTAATCAAAACACTGTCGTAGGTAAAGTAGTGTACGCAACTCGGGTAAATAGTGTTAACAACACTCGTAGAAGTTTTTTTTTGTGTCGTTAACACTATCTTTGCACAATTGATGCGTAAACTACTACTAACACATTATTTAGTGATGCACTACCTCCTCAGGGGGATAGCCCGCTAGGAAGACTTATTCAAACTCACCACAATAGAGTTGGCTGCTGATGATCTTTTTGGCTTCACCACTGCTGGAATCAGCAAGTCATATTTGGTTGTATCTTCTCCAGGCTCCTCCAATTCCTGTACACAACCATTGCCTATTTTAGTAACAGCTTTTTAATACCACTTAACTTACTGAGCAACAATCACCTTTGTGAATCCTGATCTTCAGGGGAAGACCACAGATCTGAATTATTGGCCAGTATTTAAACAGTTCAACTCCTGAATACTGAGATTGGTCAGTCTACTTTGATCATGGAAGCCTATTTTCTAGTTTAAGAATCACCTTTTTCAATAAGGCACTTTTTGCTATGGTTTGCCCCAGTATTATTAAAATTTCATGATAGTTTGCAATATTTATAAACATTATCTATTGTTATTTCAAGTTTAGTTTTTATGTTTAATTTATTCTTTCCCTCTATTCAAAACTATAGTTCAAGTCTTATATTGTTCTGAGAATAAGAGGAGTAAAACCATTGGCACCGGCCTATCACACTGTAGAATCATCATGTGCTCTAAGGTAAAAAATGGTTAATCATTTAAATTCTAAAATAAATTCTAACCCATTGCAAAGCGCTGAACATGCTGAGATCCAGAGGGTCCCCTGAGAGCTTCTTGTCAATGTAGGTGAGTGTATGACAGCAAGCCATGGTTTGAGTGAGGGGTGACTTGGAATCTAGTGTAGAGAGATCTGTCACTAAAGTGTCTCCATCTAGATTTGTCTTACCACAAGGTACAACTCCAAGTACGTCCAACCCTTCTTCTGTAAGGGTTCCTGTCTGCAAAACCAATATAACTGAGCAACACTTTTGGTAAACATATTTAAAAAATAACTCGAGCAATTAAACTTGACTACTTCTTGTCTTAGTGTGTGATAAAATAGTCATATTCATTTAATACCCATATTTTACTCATCTTTATGTTATCTTTGATTATGTTTCAATACCGAGAGTGTGTGATTTACGGCAAAGATGATTAACGGAGTTTTTTTGCTTGTTAAATTTGTTTGTTGGGGGTTTGCCAAAGCAGCAGATATCTAGAAGCATCAAGTCCAACATTTTCCAACAGTTTTTCAAAAGCCCTATGATAAACAAATCTAAGCCAGTTTTGAACCATCAAAAATCCATACACCTACTGACTTTTCTCAGGATTGGACCGGTAAACTTCTGATCACCAGGTGAACACTATAACCACTCAGCTAACCAGCTAAATTTGATAATGAACAATCGTCTCATTCATGTAACACCCATAATTTATTAATCTTTGCCTTAAACTACACAACCTGGCAAGATGGAATTGTAGTTAATGGATTAATACGGTGTGTAAATTAAGTATTGAAACAAATCTGTATTATTTAAACCGAAATAGATAGAAATATTCTTTTTGTGGCATTCCAATGTGTGGTTTGTGGTTTTATATGTATTGTTAAAGGGGTAAAAAAATATTGTTGATGTAAAAAATTGCGGAACCTTTGTTAACAATCAATGCCACAATCAGAATATTTCTATCTGTTTCGGTTTAAAAATACAGGTTTGTTTCATTTTTTCTGAAATTAATGCTTTTTCACATAAATCAAATTTTGGAATACTTGCAACTTTGACTAGGGGTGAGATATCCACCTCGGGTTTGTGTAATTGTGTTTCTTATGACAAATCCTTTGAAATGAGGGGTCACTCAATAGGGGTTGCTATTTGAAAAAAATAAGTCATCCCCTACCCACTAGGGGAGTTAAAAAATATTTTTGATATATAAAATTGCGGATCCTTTGTTAAAAATTAATGCCACAAACAGAATATTTCTATCTGCTTCGGTTTTTAAAATAAAGATTTGTTTCAATACTTAATATACACGCTGTATATTTATTTCCTTCAAATTTTTAAAACAATACCTTCACTCAAATCAGTAAAATAGATGATAATGCAGGGATCCTGTAAACCTGTCATTACTTTAACGAGTTTAATAAGTATTTAATATTTGGTATATTTTGAAGAATACAGTTCTTATATGAAAGATAGAACAATTAAATATCACATAACCACTAATTGAATTATTTTTGTGCTATACTATATGTAAACATTTTTAATCCAAAATGTTTAACTATTCTGATTTCAATGGTAACAAAAATGAGAAATTACATCCTTTGAATCGGAAGAATCATTTAAAAGTGTAATATTTCTTAAAAAAATTATTCCTATGAGTTCTTAGTATGCAAACCTTAATTAAATCTCATGATTTAATAGTAAAAGTCAGACTCACTTTGTCAAAGCATATGAGCTTCACTTTTCCCCATACACTTATTAGAGAGACTGAGGTACTAAAGATATTTTGTTTCTTGAGCCTTTTTAGCGAATAGTTATTGCCTATTGTTATGGCTGCTGGTAAGGCTGGCGGGACTACAATGGTGATTATGTCCAAGCTTCGCAGAATCATGTCTTCAATTGCTGCCTAAACATCAAATTTATAATTAATCCTTACATTATAGTATGTATGTACGATCCTGTTTCCTGGCCTTTTAGCCTACCTGGGACTGGCACAGGACTTAAACTCGAACTTTGCAAAACTCTCGCGGCTGTTTTCCTTTTGGCTCCCCCTCTAGCTTCAGTAGCTTTTTTACCCAAATCATAATTTCCAAACTGTTATCAAACATTTGATAAGTACACAAGAAGATACGATTATCAATACTAAAGAAGGGCGAATTTGATTAAGAAACAAAAGTGTAGTGGTAAAAATTAATATGGAGGTGACAAAATCTATTTTCTTTACCGTATATCTCATAATCAAATTCACCCTTATTTAGTATCGATCAACTTATATTTTTATAAAATTGTTGAAGTTATGACAAGGACAAAAAAGTTACTGGAGCTAGTAGGTGCTTGTAAGTTTGTAAAGTTGTAAGCTTGTAAATAGGGAAACTAAAAGGTGACTAATTGGGACGAGTCACAGTTCGGGTTTATGGCCCGGGCCATAGACTGAGGGGGCAGGAGACAGGTTTGATTACACAGACTATAGTTTATATGTTTAGTCAAAAGTATTTGGTTCTTAATATGAGGAAAATAATATCCATGTATAAGACATATTATAGAGGGATAGATATAGGAAGACAACATGACAAGAGAGGTAGTTGAAAACAAACTAAGAGCACCAGGAGAAAAAAACACGATCAAGATGGTTTGGACAAGTGAGAAGAGAGAATTCATATTAAAATGGAGTTGATTGTGATAGAGGAAAGGAGACATAGAGAAAGGACTTAAAGAAGGTGGTTATTATGAGAAATAAGAGGTTAGGGGGTGTGGCTACGGCAGGGGGGGGGCGAGCGGGACCCCCAGGACTAAAATATTTTAATATTAAATTCCCAAAATAAAAAAAATTTATTTTAGTATGATATTTAGTACTTTTAGATAACCTAAATCAGAAATACTGAACACATATTTTTCCAAAATTTCCCGCCTGGCTGGGGGATATTCCACACCCCTAGGCCCCCACGGAAGGCCTGGGCACGCCACTGACTGGAGTAGGAGGAGAAAATACTGTGGAGGGAAAGGAAGTTTATGTAGAGCATAGTTGAGGCTTAGACCCAAAATAATTGGAACAGAAGATATATAGCTTAACATAACCTTTATGTTAATGTGTACTTATATTTTACATTAGCAGCAATTTGATTTATGTGCAATGTAATTATTTTATGTTCTTTGGCAAAACTGTTCATGAACTTGGCGAACATTGATCAAATGTCTATGATAAGTCAACAATCCTGAACTATGATGGGTTCAAAATATGAACAGCAAGATGTATAATTAGATAATATAGCATTCATTAATTGTCTATAGGTGTAAAGGCTACTTGAAATATTAAATGTTAACTTTGCTAAGATACTTACCCCATGTAGTATGTAAAGATAGATGCTCAAACCAGTGCCAATGAGGGCAATGAAAAACATCAGAAATAGGAACTTCATACTATCTGTGTAGAGATGAAACCCGTAGTTCTTAGGATACAAAATGGATCGAACTAGCTGTCCATTGGCAGTATCGGCGCCAGTTCTAACTACTAAAGCGAGTACCTGGAATCCACCATGGATAAGTTTCACCAGAATAAATTTTGGAGACAGAAAGCTCTAAAGTAAGGTTGTTTGATTATGATGAGGTTAGTGTTAATAATAGCTCGGAAGAGTTATAGTAAAGCAAGAGTTTTGGACGTAGCAAATGTAGATTGAACAATGATATTTTTTTTATCAAGATAAGTCATTTTTGTGTCTTTATCTTAGCCTATGAAAATTTCTCGCGATAATGGAGGGTTAAAAACTACAAATAGTTAAATAAATGAAATAAAATAAATAAATAGTAAATAATAAATTAATACATTTAAAAATAAAATAAATAGTAAATATTTAAATAGTTGATAGATCAATTGATAATTTGGGTGTGTTGCTAGCCTAGTGGTTAGAGTCTTGGACTTTGGTGTGGGAGGAACGGGTTCAATTCCTGGCACATTCACAAAACATTTCATTGGTTTGGGTTTGGACCACTTTCCCTTAAAAGTGTTTGACTACTACTTCATAAAAAAATGCCACTGTGTTAATTTCAGCTTTAATAAAACAACTAAACAAACAATAACATTTTACATTTTTTTGAGTTTGATGAAATTTTGGTCTCACACTACAATACAAGTTAACAATGAAAAAATTTAAATAATCACCAAGAAAAAGGTGTATTAATACATTTCAGTGAAACAGTTTGTTTTAAACTTGCTTGGAGAGCCGCCTACATATGATTCACACACACACACACCCTTGTTGTTTTGTCTATACATTTGTCTAGTGTTATTACTGTCAGATTGAATGCAGGACTTTTGCTTCCCACAGTAACAGAGATGACCTGATAGTTATAACTTTGCCTGTCAATACAAATATTTGATCTAAAACAATTACAAGCACTGAGTTGCTTTACACTACAAGGTAACAGACCTATAATACTGTGGTGACACTATGGTAGGTGCTGCAGGAGGTAGGAAACAACATGGTAGTCAGGAGTGGAGGCAGGAACTTTCAAGTTGAGTTGTCTCAGCTGGAAGTTAAGTCATAAGGTAACATGACAAACATTGAATCACAATTCATCAATACGTTATTAATTATTAGCTCATTAATAAGTTAATAAATGGTTTTGAGACAAAAACTTACACTGTAGAATCAAAATTCAAATATCATATGATAAAAGTGATATAATTTACACACAGCTGCTTTACAGGAAATACATTGTTAGTTTTAGTGATCCTGTAAATATGACAACCAGCGGTTTATGCTTGAGTTTTAACCAAAGTTGCATTTTTATGATTTTGATCCATGATAACATTTATAATTTTATGGTTTTGATTACCTTATTTGTGGTCTAGCAGTGTGCAGGGGCAATAGTGTAGTATGGTGATGACCTGCCACTGAGCAATACAAACTATCAAGGGTTTAATTGAGAGGCTAGACCTCTGAGCCACCTTGAGTGTGCTTTAGCAAGATCATGCGTTGTTGCAGAGACCAAAAAGAGGGCAAAACAGCGGGGATAAGAGCAATGTCCTTCCCGAGGTGGCCCTGCCCTTACATAACACGACAGATTCAGAGCAGGAGGTCGATTAAACACTTCTGGTGGCAAAACTAGCAAACACCAGTTACATCTGCCACTGGTTACTCTGATCAATCTTCATGCCACTGGTGTAGACATGAAGACATTGGACATAAACTGGGCCCATGATTGAGCATCATCTGGAGATGTAAGGGTAAACTGTGAGGAGCAGCAGCAGCATAGTGGGGGGGGGGGGGGGATTGATTGCTAATTCAGACCCTATGTCATAGCTTGACTGGACTACAGTAGACTCCTCTTATCCAGACACCTTTTACACATCGGTTTAACCAGACTACACTCGGCAGAAATGTCATCTCTTTAACCGGACAACTTTAATCAGCACATCTAATTAACCGGACTTGATCGGCAGGAAGTGGGCAGTACTGAAACGACTGTTCTCGTGGGAAAGATTTGAGACCAGCGATAACGTGTATAAACACAATGCTCTCCTAAATTTCAGTCAAATATTTGGGTTGCATGCATTTAAGTGGTATGTTTTAACGAGTTTTTGGGGTTGTCGGTTTAACCGGAAAAACTGTTATTTGGACTGGCCTCGGTCCCGAGCAGTAGATAGAAATTAGAGAGCAGTAGAGAAGAGATAGAAACTACCAAATGTGAATCATGAACTATTGCTGAATCTAGTCTCAGAGCCTGGCTAGCGCAAGATTTTTTAGAGTACCAATTTGACACCTTTGTAAGAGTAGGACAACTGCATTGCTAGAGAAGAAATCCACTTTGTATGAAAAGGAGGTAAGGGATACAAATGAGAGTGAAAATAGTGAGAGGGAACACTTCTAGTATAGCGAGTAGATACTTCTACAGTAGAAGTCAAGGAGATCAGCCAAGGGTATATCTCAAATCTCAAGGACAACATGAAGGAAGCATAAAGAAGAACTTGCAGGAAAGTAAGGTGTTCAATCAATAACTTTTAAGACACAAACTCATTAACAAGCTCTTTAGGGCTGGAATCTGAGTCATCAAAGAAAAAAAGGATAGAAAGATTTCAATTTGGTGTAAAACTGTAAAAGAGTTCATAAACCTGATACCATCTGAACACAACCTGGTCAATAGTTCCAAAAAAGGAAACAACCCCCCCCCCCCCAACCAACCCCCTAATCTTGAAGAGATACTAGAAGGTACTTACATTAAGTGAGGTGAGACAATGAGGAAGGTTTTTAATGGAACCACGACATACACCTATAGTTGCAGTCCTAAAAATTTGAAATAAAAAAAACTTAACACAAAGGACATAGTCATAAGTAAATATTATGACCTGAAATGGAAATTATGGAAATTGTCAATTAAACTTGTAGGTGGTTGCAAATTATATACATTTTTGGATTACAATAGACTGATGATGAGGTGTTAGATTTGAACATGTTTGCTAGTTAAGAGATTTTGGATCAAAACGAATTAAATGTAAACTGATTGGTTCTAGCAATAGCCATGTTGTTAGAGACATACACCCATCCATCTACTCACCTTATTGTTTTCGTAGAAGCGAGACTGCACTATACGTGTGCCTCTGTACAGGGTGTGACGGCTATGAGCAGCGTGGGGATCATACACCTCGTCCACATAAGCTGGAGGGCTCTTCATCACCGGAACACTCTCTCCTGCATACGGAAAGTGGGGTTAGTTGTGCATATTCACTATGCCTACTAACAGTTTGCTGTTCTGCCAACAAGTTACAAAACTATAGTATAAGAATGACTAACAACAAAATGCATTTTCAAGCTTTTCTGAGTTAGATATTTTTTTCAGGACCCAAATCAAACAAGTTACGAGTAAATATTACATTAAAATCTTGCACACTTGACTCCTGATTACCCAATACCCATATAGTGGATTCCTCACCAAACATGAAAAGAATTTGTGGGTCATTCCATATCAAATCAACAAGGCTCTCAACCTGACCATCTTGGATTTTGATGAGATTTTGCATATTTGTAGTATTTTGAGTCCTGAATCCAAATATGCTTTTTAAAAAAATCTATATTTTATAGTTTTTATGATAAAAATATTTGAAAATGGTAAAAATTGGCATTTTTTACCGTGCGCGCAAATCTAAAATGTTGTCTAGGATGAGTTCTATTAATCCTATCAAGTTGTACAATGGCTCATTTTAAAGAGGATTCAAATGCCTTTAATCTGATACCAAACTCAACCTACTTTGGTAAAAATTAATTTTTTTTGAAAATTTCAAAATATGTTTTTGAAAAAAAAATTAAGATAGTGTTTTTTGAAAAATTTGAAAATTACATATGTTAAAGAATGTAATCTAGTAAGTACATTATAAAAATTTCAAAATGGGATGATGATGGGATCAGCAGTTATGATAAAAATACTTGACTATGGTTCACTGTTTCCAAGCGTTTTGGCGCATACAGCGTGTACGTACTAACCTAAATGTATCATTTAATAAGAGTCTATTAATTATATGATTCAAATTAAAAATATCTGCCTATATTTGAACTATGTATGTCATATTTTGCTTTAATATAATATAAATCTAGCAAATAAACAACATTATTCAAGTTAACAGAGTTTCCGTCAACCTTTGAACATGGGGGCTACTTTGAACAAACTTTCCACTTTTCATATTTTATTTTTTTTCATAAGTTATTAATTTTATCTTTAAATGATAATGTTTATTATAATTTTCTATTCATAAATACTCTACTCAAAAAAAATATTTAATAGTGCATACTATGGTTCTACAAAACATTAAAAATACTTATTTTTCACTGAAAATTTTTAGTAAAAAAAAAGTCGTCCAAACTTCCATGTCTACAGCAAACCCAGTAAGTTTATGATTTATGACTTAAAACCATAATTGAATAGCCCATTTATCTGGGATTGAGAAAATACCTGCTTTGATTACTTTATAAGCAGTAATAACTTTAAAAAAAAGAAAGAAAAAATTACCCAATTTGCTGACCCTTACTTATGGCGTCGCGACCCTTAGTTCTGGAGCAAAATTTCCTGGACATGAAAAAAAATACTTGGGTTTTAGGCTGTGTTATTTTTTAAAATGATTTTTCTAATGAAAACAGATGTTTTGAGCTTTAGTTATTATTAGCAGCCATAATCCAATTCCTTTATTTGACTGCTATGATATTTAAAAAATACCCTTGCAAAGTTAAAAAATAACCGGACGGACATTTTGAAAATTCTCCGTAACTTTTTTTAATTTTTGACATATCAAAATAGAAGTTATACAGAAATGTGGTATGTGATTTGTGGTATTTAAATCCACAAATCAGTTTTCAATAAAAAAATTTTAATTGTTAAAGTAAGAATACATTAGGCTATTTATACTTATGAGCAGACATTTCCCCAAAACTAAATAATTAGGCTATCATGGAATATTATCTATGTATCAATAATAAGGTTACTACAGGATTTAAATAGATTGATCACAGTATGTTGTTTGACAAAATTATCAATGCTTGTTTGTCTCTCTCTCTTGTCACGAGAGGAAAGACAGACAAACTTGGACCTATGGGTTTTGGCTCAGGTTCCTCAGTATTTTCCAGTTGTGTTGCAACGATTTACTGTAATTAATCTTTAAGTCTGCCTTTTCACTAAGCTGGAGACACTAAGTCAGCCACTAGATCTGTGCAAAATCACATTGTGAAGCACTTTACGTTTACACTATCAGGTCGCAGCGACCCACCTCGGCAGTAGCGACCCGGTCTTGAGAAGTTGTAATTTGTTTGACAGGTACACAGGTCTAACTTATGTTTGTCAGTCTTTTCTCTTGTCTCAAGACCGAGTCGCTACAGCCGAGATGGGTCGCTGCGACCTGATAGTGTAAACGTAAAGTGCTTCACAATGTGATTTTGCACAGATCTAGTGGCTGACTAGTGTCTCCAGCCTAGTGAAAAGGCAGACTTAAAGATTGATTACAGTAAATCGTTGCAACACAACTAACTGGAAAGAGGAACCTGAACCAAAACCCATTGGTCCATGTTTGTTCAAAGGTTGACGGAAACTCTGTTAACTTGAATAATGTTGTTTACTTGCTAGATTTAGTTTATATATAGCAAAATATGACATACATAATTCAAATATAGGCAGATATTTTTAATTTTAATCATATAATTAATAGACTCTTATTTAATGATACATTTAGGTTAGTACTTACACGCTGTATGCGCCAAAATGCTTCGAAACAGTGAACCATAGTCAAGTATTTTTATCATAACTGCTGATCCCATTATCATCCCATTTAGAAATTTTTATAATGTACTTACTAGATAACATTCTTTAACATATCTAATTTTCAAATTTTTCAAAAAACACTATCTTAAATTTTTTTTCAAAAACATGTTTTGAAATTTTCAAAAAAAATTAATTTTTACCAAAGTAGGTTGAGTTTGGTATCAGATTAAAGGCATTTGAATCCTCTTTAAAATGAGCCATTGTACAACTTGATAGGATTAATAGAACTCATCCTAGACAACATTTTAGATTTGCGCGCACGGTAAAAAACGCCAATTTTTACCATTTTCAAATATTTTTATCATAAAAACTATAAAAGATAGATTTTTTTAAAAAGCATATTTGGATTCAGGACTCAAAATACTACAAGTATGCAAAATTTCATCAAAATCCAAGATGGTCAGGTTGAAAATAATTTTTTATTGGTTGATTTCATATGGAATGACCCTTGTACACTAGTTACACAGAACCATGTGTTGGTGTTATTTACAATCCTGAAAGCTACTCTGGTGGCAAACTATAGAACTTGGTAGCTTTAACCGTTACACGGTACATTGCCTTTGCCATTTGAATCTAGCGCACAGGAGTCATACATATCAGACTATTGGAGCACTAGCCAGTAGCCTGGACAATCAGCTGCACCATAACCATTTTTCAAGTAAATAATTATTTTATTTAATAAGTTTAATTCGTGTATTTAAATCTCATTGTGTAGTAAATTAAGTATCTATGTAAGAAAAAATAAAAGAACATTTTCTATTTTGTGTAATGTCTGTTCTGTTATTCCTGATAACCACCCTTCTGATCCATATTACACTATGTGGGACTGTATTTAAAACAGTGAAGTATAATATCTCCAAATGTATGCGAATGACACAAATTGACATTGTTATACATTAAATAGAATCAACACATCTGTAATTCCACCAATACCTGTAAGAACGCTTTCATTAACTATGCAGTTTCCGCTTAGCAAAAGGGCATCGCAAGTCATTAGACATCCGTGAGGGGGGATGACTATTGTATCTCCAGGAACTAAGTCTTCTGATTCAATTTCTACAGTCTCTGCAAAAGAACAAACATGATAGAATTGTGAAAATAATGGATATTCTCTAATATTTCTAAATAAGGAATCCAATACATGGTGAAAATGTACAACATTCTAAGCAAAAAGAAAATTCAAATTTGGAAAACCTAAAAAAAAATGCTAACATCCTATAGAGGAAATTTCAGTTTCTGCCTCCCCTTTTGCCAAACCTAACCCATCTAACATGTTGTTTCGTATCTCCTAAAGCTTCGTTGTACAGTAGAGTCTCGATTATCCGACCTGAATCAGTAGAAGGAAGGTCAGTTAAAACAGAAAAAAATACTAAAACCATGGTAAACATGGTCAAAATCATCAAATTATAAAAGTCGATTGTCAAACATATTCGAGGCTTTAGGCTGGTTTGTGACTTAAATTATCACAAATAAATATAAAAAGAAAAACACCACATCTGTAACTGTAATATGTACAACAAAGGAATGCTCGTCTACTAATCACAGGTGTCCTTTAGCAACCCAACAAGACATGAGGTTTGGCAGAAAAATATCCAGATATAAAAAGTTGATAAACTGGGAACTGTAGTACTGAATTTAGCAATCAGACAAAATATCAGAAAGTGCAGATGCTTAAAGCCTGGTGCGTATCTTCAGAGTACAAACACAGGAGGCAAGATGGGTGGTTTCGTCATACCCGCTCCAGTGTACAGTTATACCACACGGAGTAGAATCAACACATGATTTCTCCGTACTCAATATCGCTGGAGGGTCAGAAAACAGGTTTAGTTGGAAACCCGGTGTAGCCAAAATAAGAAATTAAATACTAATCCTATCGTAAAGGCTGCTTCTACGTTTCAAAATAAGTAACTCATTGGAGGCATTTTGCCTTAAAACAGTATGAAGTTGGTACGTAGATTAAGGTCTCCAGTTACAACCAAGCGAGCTATTTCAAATAACACACAAGTCTTGTGTTCTTTACGTCTGGCTGACCCTTTTTCCACAGAAACCCAATCACAGAACATGATTTATATTTGGCGGGAACATCGATGTAAGCTAGAATAGTAGTTAGTGAGGGAAGTTTAGAATATGATATGGTGTTAGATTTTAACTAGCTTACTTGATCGAAATTTATGGAAAATCCTCGTTTTGAAAATGTTGTAATATCAGTGAATCAGGGTTGCTGCTGGTTCAGAGGATAATTCTCTACTGTACTGTGTGCTCTGGAGTGAGGTGGTCAAGTGATAGAGGGGGCTTTGGCTCCGGAGGTGCATGATTCAAATCCTGCCAATCACTAATAGCTTAAGCTAAATTATAATGCCGCAGCTATAAAGGTCTAACCTCGAGTACTGTTAGGTGTAAAATAGTTCTGGGCCAGAGCCTTCCAAGGATATGACGAAAGGATATTAAAAAAAACCTACTAAATGCTCACTCAAAGATTGCCTCAATGTTAACAAGTAGCTCAAAGACATCTCATCCAGATAAGTTTTGGAAGATGTATACGTATGTGTCATGAATGGAACCTACCTCCGTCATCAAGGCTCACTGTTACTTTGTTGGAGTTGCTCTCTTCCACAAGTTTAATGGTCATCAGACTTATCTGAAACAGTGGTATGATACAATTAAATGTCAATTCAAAAGTGTCATTTGTTTAACTAAAATTGAAAATGTCAAACAAAGTTATAAGTCTCCAAAAGCAGTAAACCTTGTGTAGAGGTAAGAGGTAAGTAACTTAAGTGTATTGATCAACTATCAGTAACTTATCCTGCATGCTGTTAATGGTCATATTTGCAATGGTCAATTTAGATGTTGGATTGTTCTTTATTATGAAGTGAATGGGAGCAAAGTGTCAAGTTGGATTCTAAATTTTAAATTTTTTGATTGATTTTGTTAAGAGCTGATTAAAGTATTAAAAATAATGTTGAATATTCTGAAAAGGTCAAAAATATCACTGATGTAAAAGTTGTTAAAATTTAATATGTTAAATATGTATACATAATAGTTTAAGCAAAGATAAAACTTTTAGTTTATTTGGGGACTACACAATGTGTGTATTATTAGTGTCTATTTCTGAGAATCTGAATTTGCCTCTTGTGACTTATATAATTGACACAACTAATAATATAAAACCAAATCTCTTTATTGAGTAACAACAACGATTCATTGTAAAAAATTGTATTTGTTTTATGTAGGGAGTTTGCATGAATGTTAACTACCTAAAAAATCATATATCAATTATCAATTATTAATCATTAAGATGGGGACGCCACTTAGGTGCGTATTTTAACCCAAATATGAGTGAAGGATGAGTGTAGAATGGTGTGAGATGATCTGTGTAACTTTTTTACTGACTAAGATCAGCTGTTTCATTAGCCAGAATAATTTATTTAAAGCCAGGAACAGCTGGGTCCAGTTTCGAACCATCAAAAAGCTACTGACTTTTCTCAGGATCGAACCGGCGACCTTTTGATTAGTAGGCGAGCACTATAACCACTCAGCTACCCAGCCAGTTCCAGATAATTCCAGTATAATTCCAGGTGCTAAGGATTAAGATAATTACAATTAATGGATGGTGAATGAAAACTATTATTACGATTCTGTGTGTTAACCATCCCGCATGTTACTAGTCTTCCGTCGCCCAATAACTACTTAATTAAAATCCATAACACTCAATGAACTGCATTATTTTACTGATACTATTAATTTTTTCTCTATTTAGGTAAGAAGTTTAAGGTAAATCTAACTGTTTCTTACCTCATAGTATAATAAGAGAAATGCATTAATATAATTTATTTACTGGCTAAAAAATCACCTCCTAATTAAAATTAAAGTTAACAAAGTAACACAAATAAAACTTCATAAGGGGGAGTGATAATCACATTCAGGACCTATTTTTATGTCATGAAGTTGGCTATCAAGGACATTTAATCAACAGAAAACATGCATAGCAGGCATTAAAAAACAAAACACAAGCCAATAAATACATCATACAGCAAAATTTATGTTAACCAGTTAAAAATACATTAAATAAAAAAAAGAGTTAGTCAGTTTTATCACAACTAGACTAAACACAGTGGAACATACTTAATTCAAATTTTCTTATTATAAATTTTTTTTATTCTTCAAATTTCTATAAAGCCTATATTGAAATTTCGCAGTTAATTTGAATATAATATATAACATAATACTAGAAGCGAAGGGGTCGACCCCCTTGGGCATGTTTTTCTTTTATTGCATGTAATAGTCCATAGGCCAACACTAACACATTGTGTTATTATTTGTCACACTAAATTCCTTGTCATCTATTTAGGGAATGTCAAGCGGAGGTTAGTTTACAAAACTTCGTTTACGCTCACTGAAGCTATGAAATCAGAATGGTAAATGATGAGAGTAAGTATTCTACTTTCGGGTTGGTGGGGGTGGCTTCACCCCAAATCTCCCCCCCCCCCGAAATCATGTAATATAATGCTGTAAATAATTATGTTATCTTTGAGTATCCTCTTTATCATCTGTTGCTATTGTATTGAATAATTATCAATGTTTTTTTTTTGTAGTGCTTGCTTATTAAACTTGTAAATTACCTGTAAATACTTGTAAATAATGATTGATTCACAACCAAAAGTTTCAAGTGCTGATACAGTCATGTTATTGTTATGTAATTTCCAATTTTCTATTTATATTTGTTGCTACTGCATTGAATATTATATTGTTATGGTTGTTTTGCTATGCATTTTAGAATTGTAAATTGTTATTATTGTTATTGTTTATTATTGTTATTGTTTATTGTTGTTATTGTTATTGTATTATCATCTTGATGTAGACAAATTTGTAAAATTGGTTTAACCGTGGGAAACAAATGAAATGAAATGAAATGAAATGAAATCTAAAGCTGGATCCACCACTGTACGCCTTTGACATGGCCGTTACATATAACTGTAACGAAGGGATTAAGTAGATCAATGAACTGAAAAACTTGCATTAAGACACTGCACGGTATTGGAAAAAAGCCTAATACTGTGCACCACTACCCAGTTAAGGTCATTGCCTTCTCCTTCCCTACTTCCTAAACACCCTTAATAATGACGCCGTTTCACCATTGGCCGGTCGCCACTAAACGCACTCTACCTACCAACCCTTGATTTGCTCAGCTGATTATTTTTAGTGAACATATACACATTTTATAAGCAATCTAATCCTTTTGTCAGTTTAAAATTTTCTTTTTTAAGTTTAGACATTGCTTGTTTACGCTTATAAGATTGTGGCATAGGGTTGGGGATCAGCTAAAATAATGGTAGGGGACATAAAGAACACGACGGTGGTGTAAGATTTCAACTACCTGGCTTGGCCGCGATTAGAGTTTTTCAAAATTGTTAATTTATAGACTACCCTTTGATCTTAACTTTCTGTTGGCTTGAACATTTTAAATTAATTAGTTGTGAAAGATTGGTAGTCAGTTACTTAAAGCGTCCAACGTAGAGGTGTTTAAATTTCAAACTTAATTGATTTTAAAATATTTAACAACGATTTTCAATTCTGCAACTTACTATTGTAGTATTTTTAAGAAAGTTAGCAAAATGGATTTTTAGGATTTTGAATCTGGTTAAGCACTGGTTAGAATAAATGATTGGGGATGAACTACTGAAATTATGTTGATATCAATACAATGTGGAAGCTACAATCTGTTACGGCACCTAAAACCCAAAACATTTAAACAAACAATTAGTTGTATTAGTTAGACTACAATACACTCAACCTACACATGAATGAGCAAATACAAATCCACATACCTTACGAGTTTGAATGAGGGTGTCTATAATCGAATAAGCAGAAATTATAATAATGAAAACGGAGTAGAAAATATAAGTGTCATAGCACCAGAAGATTATACTGGCAATTTCAAAAACATAAAAAGGATTTAGTATTTCATCAATTAATAAACGCCAGTATGATTTAACTTCAACATTAATTTGGTTTCTTCCGTAAACTGCGAGCCTAGAAAAAGAATAATTTTACATCAAATCATAGAAACAAAAATCAAAGATAAATCAAATATCTACAAGTAAAATCTGAAATAGCTTATTAAATAAATTAACAATATTTTTTGGTTTTATGTTTTTATAAAAATGATTTTATTAAAAACAAACACTTTATAGGAATATTTTAGTTTGCATACTTTAAAAAATGTGAAAATGAGATATATAATTAAATAAAACACAAATCAGCAACAATTCCAACAATCCATTCTACACAACTCATGTCATGTGCATTTAAAATTGTTTTATTGTGTTTAACAATACACAAATCATGCCCATTCAATGCATAACTTTCAAAAGAATGGCAAGCAATAAAATAAGTAAATCCATCTCTCTGACTGGAAGGTAAGTAAATAGTTTCTGAATATAATTTATGACCATGAATAAAATTGTGTTAATACTGTATGCTGTGCAATAATGGCATGACCTTTAAATAAAAGAAGTTCTGTAATTATAATATAAACTTATACCACATAATCTTACACACATTTAATTCTTTTTGTGATCTATAACAAACATTGGAATTGATCTAAGAGTGGAATTACATTTAGATTATTTGACATCTCTCCATTTAACAGTGTAACCTTGTGAGAAAAATTGAAATAGTCCAGTTAGCATGTAGGCTTCAATCAATGGCACTGTGACACATTTGAAGGTCTAATATTAAAGGCAACGTTGTTGAATCTAAAACTATCTCAACTGGCAAACCAAACTTCAATCAAGGAACTATAAAAATCTGATAGGACTTGTGTAGAACATAAAAATGGATATTTTATCTGGCATTAGTAGAGTTGAGTTAGCTAAGAACGGTTTAAAATATTTAAACATATAAGTCAGTGAAAATATTTTGTTGTCTTGAGAGAACTCTACAAGAAAACTACCTTTTGACTTAAGTCAGTGGCTAAAAATATTTAGTGTTTAAGAGAGAAATACAGGGTGCGGCAAAACACCCGATCCATTTTCTACAGCGCAATGTTTAGTGACAGGTCGTCTGAGGGTGGTGGGGGTAGGCTCATTGGAAAGCTTACACGATGCCATTATCTGTAGTCATAGAGTAGTGGTCACTTGAGCAACGCACGTTTGTTATAGAGTCGTTTAAAAAAAGTAATGATTCAGTCATTGCAACTCAGCGGCATTTCCATGCATTCTTTAAATTAGGTCGACATGGAGAGGTCCCGTTGCGATTATCTGTATAATCAACCAAATTAAACAGATTAATACAAATTAATCTGTAGGGAAAATAATTTAGATCAAAACTCAAAATTAGTGTAACAGAGCAGTCAGACATGCTCAAAGCAGATGCTTTTTTTTGCGCGGGCCTACGAGGGCTATTTCCCACAGCAGCACGAACTCTATAGAATATTAGTTGTCTGGCGTCCAAACCTCTTTGGACGGCTTGTCAGCTTCTTTTTTAACGCAGAAGCCGATGTTCTTAAGTTGGTAACCCACCACATGATTGTGCTATTTGACAGAATTCTTGTCGCCCTAATTAAAAGAATGCACGGAACTGCCACTGAGTTGCAATGACTGAATCATTACTTTTTAAATTTGATTCAATAACAAACACACTTTGCTCAGGTGACCACTGCTCTATGACCACAGATAGCGCGCTGCATAAAATAGATCAGTTTTTTTCTGTACCCTGTATAATTCAAATAGTTCACCTGATAAAATATTAAGAGCCATTTTATTGGTAGCTATAAGCCCCGGAATTCTAATTGTCTCTGGTAAGCTAAGTGAAATCTAACCATTCCCAAATAAACTAAATTATTCACTAGGCTTTCCCTTAAAACATAAAAAGATTTACAAGTAACTTTTATATGTCGTTTGATCTAGTAAACTTTGACCAAAATAAGCCATCTTTGATTCCTATCCAATAACTAATCCCATCAAATACATTCTGTCGTTTTATAAGAACGTTATCCATGATAAACAAACAAAATCAAAACAAAACTATTGACGAAGCACTTGATCTTGAACATGAGGCACTTACGTTTGTTTTTGTTGCTGAGGAGAAAGGCCATCTGTGTGGTTGTCAAGCAAAGTTTGAAGGGTATTTTTGTCGTTTGCTAGCCCTTGTAACAGTCTGAACTCTCGAAGTTCTGGGGTCCAAATGAACTTGCGGAGTTGGTGTACGAAAAACCGCATAGTGCATCCAGCCCCATGCACTTCACTACCTGCAGTCACGTAGACTTTGTGTATCGTGTCTGTACCCCACGGGACCTACAACATATGGCAAGAACCAATCAGGAACAGTTTGGCTTGGAATTTGTTGGTGAATTAATTATTTCAAAAGTTGTATTACATCACATTTCAACACAAATCAGTGATCCAGCCTTGGATAAAAACAAGTTTCCAAACCTTTTGAAAAGCTGTCTCTAAAATTAAAATCGATAGGAACCAACGAATGTATGTACAGGGTGTTTTTTTTTTTTTTAACACAACCCCAATTACAAAATATTAAATTCATTGTTTAGGGACAAAACAAGCTCATAAGTTGGCAGCACTGCTTCTTTTACTTTGTTACTGATGCAGATATGCATTTTTAGCATTGTTGTCTTCTTGTTTATGTGTGAAGAATATAAAAATGCATATCATCTGATCGGTAATGGTGAAAGGAAGCAGGGATGCCAACGTATGAGCTAATTTAGTCTTTAAACAGTGACTCTTTGTACTTGTAATTTGGATTCTGTTAAGAAAAACACCCTGTTGTACATTATTAGTATCATTGTCCTGATAAAGGCTTTAAGTTGAGAGATGTAAACAATAAAGTTTGCAAACTGCTTTTTGCAGCAATTAATAACTTCGGTTTGGAATAAGTAGATTCAATTATTTGCAGGCAAGTGATTTTCAGAATAAGTGAAGATTGTGATTGTCTAGAACTTAGATATAAGATTAGAACTTTGGATAGATTTATGAAACAACTAATATAAAGTCATATTTTAGCTTTGTCATTTATCAAAAGAATATATTAAATGAAATGAAAATGCTTCTTTATTGAGGCGAACTTAGGACCTCATGGTCCTTTCTTACAGTTAACCTCTATATAATAATAATAGTAAAGTAATAATAATGATGAATATATTACTATGTTAAAAGCACATTGTTTAAAAACAAGTTACTGTCAATTCATATAGTTGTTAAAATATTTTTAATTTTCATCCCAAAAGCCGCATTTACATAAAGCCAGTTGATGGGCAGTAAATTTAAATATACTAGAGGAGAGGCGAGTAACCTGCCTGCTCTACCGGCCTCGTGTAAACGCGGCTAAAGAAGGGTAATTTTGCAGCCCCCTTATATACTGATTCCAGACCCAGACACCATTTGTCATTGGGTTAATAAATTATGGTATCTTACAAAAGGGCTACATTAGAAAGTTGTTCACAGAAAGTAAAAATGCATAGCACGTAGGCCTACAATGCTAATCAAGACGTTATATAGGCCCTAGTTATTCAATAATACTTAGATTTTCATTAATAATATGGTCAATTTAAAAAGGCCTAATTCCACGAGAAAATTTGTCTTGTTTTGCAGTTATGCAATGTTTTCCTGAGGTGAGGGAGGAATAAATGATTTCTTTAATGTTACGATGTTTTGTATGCCTTCTCAGTTATATATACCTTCCAGGCAACTCATAGGCAAAGTATTTATATGTTATTTTGCTATATTTGAACCTACCTCAAAATATATGTATTACAGATAAAAGTATGTGTTATTGCATTTTTCAAAGCTAAATTTATTTTAATGTAGGTTCTATTATTGTAATATATATTTTTTTACCTGTAACCAAGAATATAATAAAAATGAACGTTTAGTTTAAACAACCAAAACAGTAGCCATTACATAATTTTTTTTTCTGAAAAGCATCTTAGAAATACAGTCAATGCCAACAAGACTGAAACAATCTGTTTTACTTTAAAAAAAAAAGACTCACAGGAAGATTGTAAGCCTATTAAATTACTGGGTGTCACTTTAGACCAGAAGCTTGGGAATCTCACACCAACTCAGTAGTTTCAAAACTTTCAAGGGCCTGTTTTTGCTACGTAAGCTACAACAATGTGTTAGTAGAAATATGTTGTTAAATTAAATACTTATTTTAGCGATTTTCATTCCCATTTGCTGTATGCCACAATGTTCTGGGAAAATAGTAGAGGTGCTATCTATGTTTTTGCTTGGCAAAGAAAAGCAGTAAGGATTTTGGCCAATTTGCTTATCAAGATGACTGTAAGCAATGTTTTATTAATTACAATGTAATGTCTGTCCATTGCATTTTCATATTTCAAAGTCTTTTATATGTAAAGGAAAACCAGAGTGATTATGTAAGTTTTGAGAAAGTTCATACCTAATTATAACATTAGAAGAGCACAAGATATCGTCCCACCCTCTTCTAGATTATAGAAAACAATAGTCAGCCACAAATACTAACAAATCAAGTGTTTCAATAAATTGCCATCAGAGATCAGAAACCTTGAAATCCAACCATTTAAATCAAAACTGTCAAGCTGGTTTATAAATAAAGCGTTTTATTCTCTTGATGAATACATTTTAAATTAATTATGAGCTTTGATCCAGTGATGCTTTGGTGATTAGTTGTAATTTATTTATTGTTAATTTGCATAGTTTATATTGATTTGTCTCTAATTGTTATTTGTGATGTTTTATTCTGTTATATCTGTTAGCCTGACAAGTACACTGTACTATTTCCTTTTACACTGCATATTAGTGTATTTCTTTTGTTATTTGACGTTTTCTATAGCGATGTAATGTTGACAAATGACAATATATGGATTCTTATTCTTATCTCTTCAGAATTCTTTCCCTTTTTAATCAGGGCTAGTGAATTCAATTAATCATATATTAAATTAGCAAAATAATAAAATAACCCTGATACACCAATTACATATTAACATTCTATAGTGTTACGAGTGCAAAGATAAGCTTTTGTTATTTGAATTTTATCATTCAAGGTTAATGGTAGCTAAGGTCAAGATTGATGCGTAATTGATACATTAAATAACCATGAATAATACTAAAAAGATATAGTTACTATGATAAAAACCAGGTGCAGTTCATAAAAATCTAAATAAAATATTAAGATATTTAACAGTTGCAAGCCAAAATAAAATATTCAACAGTATTGTAACTTGAATTAGTTAGGTACACACAAAACATATGGAAAAAAGTTGTCTAAAAAGAAGTTTTAAAATAACTGTTGAATGTGAAATTTCAAATTTAAATAACTCCTATTTGAAAATTTTTCCATATCCATGTCTAGCTAGACTAATAAGCAAATGAGAGTTAAATTAACACATTAAAAGCAATTTGTGTATGGTAGCTATAGAATTTTCTCCGTAACCATTAGGCGCAAAGTAACGCTTCAATATACAAAATTATTTGTTTTTTAAGCTCTACATGTTGGTTTGGAAAGAATTTGCTAATTTTTTTGTTTATAGGGTCAAAATTTAGTGATTCGGTGGCTCAGTCGGTAGCGTCGCGGACTTTGGGCCCAAGGCAGCGATGTCGTGGGTTCGGATCCTGGTCACTGCCACTAAAATTTATCAGTACAGTTCACCTTTGTACTGTACCGGCTCGCTCCTTGCTTTGCTGTAAACGCTCTGCGCACGGGCGCTTAGTCTATGTGGACGGGCAAATGCAAGGTTAAAAGAGGACGCCAACCTCTTAAAAAAAAATTTAAAAAAATGGGAAAACCAATTTTTACCACTTAAAACCCCCCATTAACACCCGTTCCCATAGTCCAATCATGCTGGTTCGCGAACTCGTAAGAATAAATGTAGGTTTACACGTTTATTCCTAATTTCATCAAAATCGGATCATTTTTGCTTGAGTTTTATATATATATATATATATAAATATATTTATTTATTTATTTATTAATGAATTTGAACGGATGGTGTTTTTGGCCTCTAGGGACCTCAAAACAAAAAAGTAAATCAGTCCTGTGTCCAGGTCTTACCATGACTACTAAGGTAATAGCTTATTCCCTACACATGGGAAATTCGCTAAATACAGATTTAAATTTTTGTTATCATGCTTAGTGAGTTTAGAAAGTTTGGTACTCAGGTTCAGCTCAATAGGCTATCTTGACAAATTTTGAATTCATTTAATAAAGTGATCTTTCAAATCGAACACCTTTATTGTATTGATACACTAAATTATAGACCTATGTGGAACTTCATTAGTCATACCACAATAAAAAAAAAAACAGCATGAAGTTGATGTTATTATAAAAAGAACCCATAATGTTAACAGGATATGTAAATATCCAAACACTGTTATCCCTGTTTAAAACCACACTGCTTATCATGAATAAATATTTGCTTTAAGTTTAAAAGTTCCATTTGTTAGATGGTAACAAATATTTTCATTAAATAATTTTAATTTGTTACCCACATTGTTGGAGGAACGTTTAATAAACAAGCTGTGCTTTATATTTTAATAATGATATTGATATTGATGATTGGTGAATATGACTTCTCTATAGGCCTACTTTAGTTTTATGTTAAATGATTTAATTAATCACCATCCAAAATTTTTTTAATCTTTAAGATTGACTTGGAATTATTATTGTTCAAGGAATTGTATATAAAAAAACAGAAAACACATAGGCCTATTATTTTAGTCTACCATAATGTTGCCCTTTATCACATAATGGTTTTAAATGTAATGGCATCAACACCTAATAAAATATTACAACAGTGACAGTGAATAAACAGTTATGTAAAACTGTAAAATAGATGGCTTGGCAATTAACAAACAGTTTCAGACAACTAGACAGCTATAATGATTAGTATTATAAATGCACGCTTTGATTCATCGGTTACCCTTATCTCTCGACACCATTTACGTGATCGGAGGACTCAACGAGTTAACACTGTATGAGGTCGAAAACCAACAAATGATAAGAAATGAAAACTACTACAGTATTTAGAATTACTGATAACACAAGAAACTTTTCCAACTTTTATCAAAAGATATTAAAACTCTTTTGTGTTTGATGAAATTGCTCAATAAAAACTTTGCTTCAGTAGAAAGATAATTACAACTGAGTAATTAATTTTGATACTTTAGATAATTAATGTAACATGAATTTGGAAATGCACAAAAAACTTACAAGTTTCTTTTCAGATAAATTGAGAAATTATTTGTTAAAACTAATGGGGCTTTTTTAGTTGTACTTTTCAAAACAGCATTTTATTAAGTTTAACAATTAATATCACACACATGGCAATGGTAGAAACAAAAAGTTAACATACCGTACTCATTATACATTAATCATCCCCACGAATCTACCAAAGAAATTTTAACGTTAATCCCATTTGGTTATATGTATAGTGATAAAAGTTTACTATTTGTTTTTTGTTATATGACTGATTTTAAAACTATTTCAATTAAAATAAAACTATCTGTTTATACACTGTTGTATTTTGTTATTATAACCAAAAAGTAACCTAGAATGAGAAAGAAAAAACATTTAGTCGACACTAGGGGCTCAAGCGTTACAAACATAAACGAGCTTAAGATTTTAAAATAGGATGAGAAGAATGTGTACCATTCAAAGTCAATGATAGTAACAAGACCAGGGTTCCGCTGGGACTGTTCCCTTACAAAACAGTGGGGGGAATGCTAGTAGTGTAGAAAAAAAAAACAACATAAACACCATAGTTAAACAACAGTTTGTTATATTATATTCTGGCCACAAAATAGTTTGTAAGGACAAATGTATTTTTACATAAAGTTATTTAACTAAATCACCTGTATAAGTACAGTATCTGCCAAATCCAGAGAGCAGCGTCGAAGTCCCAAAAAAGCATAGCATCGTGGATACCACCTCAGAAACAAGTATGGGATTCCAAAAAATATCACAGCAACAGTATGTAGAGCCAACGTTGAGAGCCAACATTTTCGATAGCCTGAAATGCAAATTAGTTAATTAGTTTATTTAAACATCTTTAATTGTAAACACAAACTGCACAAATATATTTCAATCAGTTTAAATAAAATGTGTCCATTTATTCACTGAAAGCCCTTTTAATGCGACATTTAAATACAAGGCAATTTGGTACCTTAAAATGTTTTGAACCGCTATTGTTCAGGTTGAAAGAATTGTTTTTGTTAAACATGTATTTTTACTAAGGAGGAAATATTAAGTATTTCAGTTACCTACCATTTAAATACTTTTGATACTGATTCAAATGTTTTGTAGACACAAATTGTCCTTCAAAAATATTTGAACAACGGAACTCTGGAAATTCCTCTATTTTTCAGGTGATTGTTCATTCCCTAAAGAACTTAACAATAGAATAAACCTTACAGTAACCTTACACAATATTGTTGTTAGCTCGGTAATGGATTTTTATTTATGACCACACAAAAGTAGTTCTATGACTACTCTCACAAGAGAACCCCTCACCTCCTCACACAGAAATATTGCTAGTAGTTTCTAACGACATGGTATTGCATGATTAAAATAAAACATGAACAAACAAAGTAGATGTTTTCTATCATGATTTGCAGACAAAGAGAATTTCCATTAACATTGGATTTCTGTATTTCTAGTAGAATATTCTCTTTAAATTTTCAGATTTATTTCCTATTTAAATATTGTAATGAGTACTAAGGTTTGCTGCTACGGGGAAGGTAATGAGGTGTGTTTTTTATTGGAATGTTGATAGCTTTAATATGACACAGACAAAATTGCAAAATTGTATTTAAATACATCCATTAACAAACAAATTACAACAGTTGATTTATTCTCCATAAGAAAAATGTGGGAATTTTAAATTTACAATATTTTCAAATTATCTTTGTAACCGTTAGGCGTACAAAAACTCTTCAGTATTCTAAATTATTTCTTTTTTTAAGAACAAAAAAAACAAACAAACAAATAACAAACTAAACACAACAAATTAGTTAACAAATTAGTTTGGAAAGAAATTCTGAAATTTATTGTTTTATGGTCAAAAATGGACCCATAAAACCCCCCATAAACCCCTGTTCCCATAGTTTGATCATGCTGGCTCGCGAAATCGTTCAAATAAATGTTGTTCAAATAAATGGATGACTTAAACTAACCATCACCAAAAACTAAGGAAATCACTTATTTGGTAAACAAGATAGTAGTGAATAGCCAGTGGTTTGATAACATTAAATTTTCAAAGTGTTTCTAAATGTTATATCATAACTTAGTGGTTTGGTTTAGTTTTCTAAGCGCATCTGTAGCTATAAGTAGGTATTACAAAATAAAATATTTTACGGCTCATTAAGAAGTTGAATACATTGTGTAAATAATATAACCAGCATATGCAAATAGAAAAACAAACTAAAACGGTGATTAATCTGTATGCGCCACGAGTTTGACTAAGGATAGTAGCCCAGAACTAGCTCTTCTTGCCTCAAACTGTTAAGGAACTAGCAGTCAGTACAAGTTTGACCAAGGATAGTAGTGCAGTGCTAGCTCTTAGGATGTACATCTTTGTGTCTCAAACTGTTAAGGAACTAGCAGTCAGTACAAGATTGACCAAGGATAGTAGCCCATACAGTGCTAGCTCTTAGGATGTACATCTTTGTGTCTCAAACTGTTAAGGAACTAGCAGTCAGAACAAGTTTGACCAAGGATAGTAGCCCATACAGTGCTAGCTCTTAGGATGTACATCTTTGTGTCTCAAACTGTTAAGGAACTAGCAGTCAGTACAAGTTTGACCAAGGATAGTAGCCCATACAGTGCTAGCTCTTAGGATGTACATCTTTGTGTCTCAAACTGTTAAGGAACTAGCAGTCAGTACAAGTTTGACCAAGGATAGTAGTGCAGTGCTAGCTCTTAGGATGTACATCTTTGTGTCTCAAACTGTTAAGGAACTAGCAGTCAGTCCAAGATTGACCAAGGATAGTAGCCCATACAGTGCTAGCTCTTAGGATGTACATCTTTGTGTCTCAAACTGTTAAGGAACTAGCAGTCAGTACAAGATTGACCAAGGATAGTAGCCCATACAGTGCTAGCTCTTAGGATGTACATCTTTGTGTCTCAAACTGTTAAGGAACTAGCAGTCAGTACAAGTTTGACCAAGGATAGTAGTGCAGTGCTAGCTCTTAGGATGTACATCTTTGTGTCTCAAACTGGGAACTAGCAGTCAGTACAAGTTTGACCAAGGATAGTAGTGCAGTGCTAGCTCTTAGGATGTACATCTTTGTGTCTCAAACTGTTAAGGAACTAGCAGTCAGAACAAGTTTGACCAAGGATAGTAGTGCAGTGCTAGCTCTTAGGATGTACATCTTTGTGTCCCAAACTGTTAAGGAACTAGCAGTCAGAACAAGTTTGACCAAGGATAGTAGTGCAGTGCTAGCTCTTAGGATGTACATCTTTGTGTCCCAAACTGTTAAGGAACTAGCAGTCAGAACAAGTTTGACCAAGGATAGTAGTGCAGTGCTAGCTCTTAGGATGTACATCTTTGTGTCCCAAACTGTTAAGGAACTAGCAGTCAGAACAAGTTTGATCAAGGATAGTAGTGCAGTGCTAGCTCTTTGGATGTATATCTTCTTTTCCCAAACAGTAAGGAACTGGCAGTCAAACATAGTTCAAATTAAAAGTCATGGCATGGTTGAATGAAAACACCCCATACTTCCAATATTTCCAGAATCCTATAGCCTAACCGATAAATGAGAGTTCCTTGCAACTTTTTAACTCATAACATTATCCTATGTAAAATGTGTCATTTTGCAAAGGACTGTAACTTTTGTTAATAATGTATGTATTTTATTGAGAAGATATTTATTTATAAATTGTATTTTGTTATAAAAATTAACTATACTTTTTTAGAATAGCGGGGGTTCCAAAATAGAGAATGATCAACCATATCCTTAGGAAATGGTACTGTACATTGTAGAGTAAAGGGTGATATGTAATGTATAAAGTACTTGTTAAAGCATTACAGTATATAAATCACCAGCCATTGTGAGGATTTGAACATGCAACAGTACTACTGTACGGTACTATAAGACTTATAATCTATCAAGACACCAACTTTTTACTGACTTCTAATACTTTTCAATATAAAGTCATTTGTAAATTATTGCTACCAAAGTTATTAGTATTCTTTGCAGCTTTATCATGGACGAAAAATGAACAAATTCTTTTAACGGTGAGTGCTAAATTTAAAAACAATATGTAGGCTATATAAATGTCTAAAACCTGTATTAGACGTTCCGTATTACTTAAATATTACGTGTGAAATATTATTACAAATAACCATGTAAAATGGTTTAATTGTAGCCAAAACATCACATGTTTCATTTCTGAAATGACCAATTCAAATAGGCTATAAACTTAAAACCACCACCACTCATACCCAAGTTACTCGTCAAAAATCTATTCGGGGAAGTAAGCAAAACTGCACCACAGCAGGAAAAAATCCTGTATAATAGTTTCAAAGTAAGATAAAATACTGAAGACAGCAATACTGTATTATTTAAAGATACTCATAATTTATTGTACATCTTAACACTCCTTAATTTAATTCCAAACTTTTTAATGTCCAACTATTTTTATACTAACGCCCCTAGTCAGTATCCAGTATGTGGCGTTTCGTAGATCATGATCGAGTAGTATTCTAGGTACAAGTATAATTAATTTAAAATTCTCACCTGTACATTTTAAGTTCCTCTCTTCTTTTCCGCAGTCAATAATCTGGACAGAAGGAGCCTCCAGCACCTCATACCCACTGCGACGCAGTGCTGAAACAATTTGCACAAAATTAAAATTTACAAACAAATTGAAAATTAGCAAATTGTAAAAGTTTCAAACATCATGAACTTAAAGCAATTTAAGAAAAGGTGAACTTAAAGCCAGAATATTACTGTATGATTTCCCTGATTTCAATTTGTGTTAGTGTGTGTTATTAGCCATTGTCAATGGTTTGAATGTTAAAAGTTCCTTTTATTTTCTATTTATTATATGTATGTTAAGAAAGTATGTTTTGTAACATAGTGTAATAAGAGCTCAGATTAATGCAACACACATAGGTTTTGTAACAGCATGGGATTAGTGTTCACATATATGTAACACAAGGTATATTTATGTAACATTGATGTACTTGGCAATCAGATGTATACAACACAACTAAATGTTGTTTTGTCTCATTGCTGTAATTATTAGCATTCAGATAATTGTATTTTTTTTTGTAACATTCATAAATGTTTTGTTCAGACTTATGAAACTCAAGGTATGTTTTAGAAAACAATGTCTGGAACATAAATTAGAGCTCCTCATTCTATTTGAAACTAAGACTGGCACACAAGGTACCAGAACATTGCCCAGCAATATTAAAATTATAATAGACTTAACAGGCTATTTTTATGGAATGGTTTAAGTTTGGCAAGAAATTGACATTGGCAATGATTGAGCTCAAGGGAACATTAAAAACCACTATCCGACATTAGAGGCTGAAATATAAAAATAGTTTTCTTCAAGACTCGCTGACTCAGTCATAAAATAAAGAAATATCCTTTTGTGTCTTTCCATAGGCAATTTTAAGGTCTGTTGAATATGTCAACAAGAAGCTAAATCTGAATTGATTTTAAATACTGCACTCTAAAGATTATATAAATACTTAACTACTTAATAGGTGTGTGTTTAGCTTAAAAGTAGTAATATTAAGTAGGCTAAGAACATAAGTGTGATGTTACTCTGATGTACAAAGAAAACTTACTTCTCACTAAGTGTGGGGACGATTCACTTCTCCTTGACAACTTGTTATGTTAGTTGAATTTGATTTTAAACAAATAATACTTTGAGAAAAAAATATCTGTATTGAAATTAAATTTTGCAAAGAATACATATTGATAACTAAAGTATATGTTGTTGATGAAGGTTAGTAGCTGGTATTTCTTTAACGAGTTCCGAAAATAGACGTCAACGCTCTGCGACTACACTCACCTGAGTTTGCTATTTGCAAACTATTCGTCATCGGACTTTATAGACAAGCACTTGGCAATGTCACCCGGCGCCAGAGCACATAATAATGAAAACGTCCAGTGCATAAGTTATTACTATTCTTATCAAATTTGAAATTATATCTGACCTGAATCAACTGCAATATTTTTAGTTAAACAAAGAACATGTTTACATGTTTTTTATTTATGAATTTAACAATAATCAGTCAAATTAGTCATGTCACAAAATCCAATTGGTGTCTACTTTGGTTACCTACTTAATTTTGAGACTGTGCATTGCTTGCATCTTTTAATTCATGATTTTTTTTATTAATCTCATATTCAAACCAATAAGGATACAAGTTAAAAGGAAAATGTACTCCACAAGTCACACCACACATTTGTGTTATGCATTTGTTTTTCGTCTTATGTCGCATCATTTGTTTTAACTAATGTGAATAACTCATATAGACTTAGTGTTTTCGCCAAAGTTCCATTTTAAAATTCACAAAAATATTGATATTCAAGGATAGAAAAACACTTTCAAGTGAGTGATCAGATAACATTTTTTTAAGCAATTAACACTTAAGCGCCTAAGTACCAAGATGTGACAAGTCTATGACCTGGTAGTCGTCAGAAAACAAACCAATCTCTTCATGAGTACATACTGTACTACACTGGCTCAACCCTTCAATGAACAGGCACAAGGTACAGTATACGTGGATGGGCCAATGCAAGGTTAAGGAATGCTTTTTAGAAAGGGGTAAAGATAAATGTAGGTAAATTTAACTTATCTCTAACAGAGTAACTAAGGGGGGCGAGCTAGTCTAGTGGTAGAGCACGGGACTTTGGTTCCCAAGGTCCTGGGTTCAAATCCTGTCAATGTATTTTATCTAGTGATAGTGCTTCAACCCCCTCTCTAGACTTAGCCTGATTAAGGTGGAAAACAATTCCGGCTATTACATTTAATCAAATTGCTAGATCTTAATTGAATAACTTTAGATGTTCATAAACAATACTAAAGAACAATTGTTATATTCTAGGTAAACTGTGAAATAAAAGTTTGGTAATATACTTTAAGTGCCATTATTTTTCAAGTTGTATGCCCAATTCAATAATAATAGCTTTTTTTACTGCAAACAAGGGCAGCCACAAAACACTTTGAGATTCACAAAATCTATAAAAAAATCACTATATATAATGTTTTTTTTTTTTTTGACATTTTACAGCCTTATTAAAAATCTGTTAGTCGTTTTGAGACATTCATTTTTTTAACCTCATCAGCCTGCCAACAATCTAGTTTGACAAGCACAGTAGCTCAATGTTAGCGTCTTAAACTTATATCACAAACATCTCTGGTTCCAGACCAACGCCTACATTATCTAATCACTGCACTGCAGTACCAATGCCTGTGCATGTGACTTACACCAAACAATACTCCACTGTCTTTAGATCACCACACCAGTAGTCTATGGTGACAGACAGTTGTTTTGTTTGAAATAAACAAGTTTTCAAATAATGTGTTCATCAAAAAATTTTATGATAATTTTTAACGAATGCAACTTTTATAGTAATTTAATTTATAATCTCAAAAATATGTAATATCATACATTGATCATGTACAACTTGCTAGCCAATTAAGGCACAATGTAAGCACATTGAAGCATTAGAAAACCAAACCCCATTTGAAGATTAAGCAACAAGCCCTTGCCCAAAATCAACCTTGTGCTATCTAAAAACCGGAAAACATACTAGGCTAATAATTTCAGTATTACACCATGCAGTTGGACAGAACATTCGTAAGAGGTATTTATGATCTTGTGATATTTGTAATTAAAATCACACACTGGTACTGATCAGGTAGACAAATTTTTAATCTTTGATGAACCAACCAATTAACTATTTTTATTATTGAAACAAAAAGATTACACTTTTGATTTTACAATCAAATACAGGTGAAAATTTTAAGACGCATATCATATTCTATTTTAATAGTTTCATTTTGAACAGGAAACATCTACATTTGATTATAACAATTTAATTAGAAATGTTGTAGGAAATAAAAAGAGCATTATCAAATTCCAAAAATGAAAATAAAACTACTTACAACCTTTTATGACTACACTTTCTAAAGACAAGCAATAGATTTTAATAATTTGATAGCAAAAACGGATTTTGTGAATCAATCTTCTTAGGCAATAGCTTTGGACAAAAACAATTACAAGTGGCTTATACATCTGATTTCTACACATTTTTGTACAATTTTTAATGCACACCCACCACTCTGACAGCAAAATGCATGGTTAATAGTGTGGAATTTCATCGGAGGGGTAACAGCTAACTTCTAATCCAAAAACCTTTGCCTTTCTTTCCCAAATGTACAAAACAATGCACAGACCTTTTATAAAGTCTCAAAGTAGGTGTCATTACATTGTTGTGCTGAGACTAAATAACTGATAGAGAAAGAAGAGTTAACATAATGTAAAATCATTATAACAACACATATCAAGAAAATGCTTTTAGCATAAATTTTACCAATAAGAAGCAGGGAAAATAATTTTTAGAAGGAACAAAAAGAAAATATTAGTTGCATGCAGGAATCACTGCAGTTCACTGTAGAGGTTAGATTAGAATTAAGTATTTAAGACAGACAAACTGGCTAATGAAGAAGAATTGCAAGCATGATGCAATCGGATGATATGATACTTACGAGCATTTCTTCCTGGAGAAGTAATGGTGTTACAGTTTCTTTTGTTTTGGAACACTGATCACACAAAGAGCAAATAAACAAAAATAAAATGTGTGCATAGCACTAGAAAAACCAAGTAAATTTCTAGTCATATAGTCTATCTATAATTAATTAGAGAATTATTTGAATCCAAGTAAGTTACATTCCATTTTTCAGATTAAGTTATAATTTAGAATTGATTAACTTATGGATGATGGAGAGTTTATGATAGGTACCATTTTACAGTAGGCTATGTTGTCTCTACAACAGTTATCACAATTTGTAAATAATGTTAACTTAGCTGGATATGAACCAAATAAAACATTTATTTTTTTACTCTGCAGAGCTTTAGATATTTTTTGCATTCATATATCAGAATATAAAAAAAATTAGCGAAATGTATAGCCTGGTTTGAGGCAAAAACAGAACACTAGGAAAACAGTTTACTTACTATTGAACTGCAAGTTATTAAAATAAGTTTTTTAGTTAAATTAATAAGTTCATTCACTAAAATACTGTACTGTAACCTAAAAGGATCTTACAAATGTTTTTAGTCATATTCTTTTATTAAAGGTTGTGGGCACAATAGGGAATTTAAATTTAAAAGTAGCCCTCAAATAATTAATTGCAGCCTATAGGATAATAAATTGTAAATTGCTTGGTTCGACTAGAGCATCTTATATTCAGCTAGTTTTCTCGAGATTTGATTTCACCTAAGCCAATGGCGTTCCTCTCCGGATATTTAATTTGTTATTAAGTTATTCAATGGATACATCACGGAGGCAACCTCAAAGGATAAACTGTATTTTTAAGGGAGGAAGAGTATTTCTTCTACAGAAATGTTACCAGTGGAGGTTACACACTTGGTTCATCAAAATCAATGAATTTAACTATTAGAATTACCAGTAAGTTACACCATAAATTAGTAGGCCTAGCCTATCCAAAATGTATCACTGTAGTCAGGCCTGCAGTGCACTATGAAAAATAGCCCCCAAGCATGCAAAGGTACTAGCTCTAAAAAACTAAGTAGTTTCCCTAGCAGTAGTAATCCTTAGCAGAAAATAACATAACCTATAAATTTATCTCTTGATGAGGTTATGTATTAATTGTACTTTCATGCATGATAGATTAATATGATGAAAATGGTTTCAGTGAAAAGCTAAATCTTTGATTATATTTTGTCCCACGAAATAATAAATAACAAGTTCTAGTTTAAACTGAGAAATAAGAACTGGGGTGGGATAATAATAGAGCAACATATTTAAAGAAACTTATGTGAAACTAAACATACCTGGTAAATTAATACCTATCATATCATTTCTTGAAACCGTTTGAACACCTCGAGATACTATTTTGAAATCACACAATAAACTTTAAAGACTAATTAAGGTTAAGCAGTGTGAGCATAATTTAAGTTAGTTAAGTCATTCTAGACTGTGACTGTGCGCCGTGCGGACTGTCCGCTCCGTTGTCTCTGTCTGTCAGCCAGCTGCTGAATTGAGCTAACGTGACGTGACGTGACGTAACGTAACGTAACGTAAAGTTCTAATGAATGAAAACTGAAAACGATGGAATTGAATCGGCTTCCCCTGGCCATGGCATAGCAGAACTCAGAAGCAGAAGCAGGCTCAGTATCATCAGTGTTACCAATTCACCGCCAAAATAGCAACACTATTATCCTCGCGCCTTGTATTCTCGATTCTCGGAATTAAGTCAATGGTATTACAAACTTGGTCATTTGGGTGTAACCCGCGGAGGCAGAAAACATTCTAAACTTTATTGAAATACGTCCAAAACTACGAATTTCTCTTGAAAGTCCGAAATTGAAGGGCTTAACTAAAATTTGTTTTCCTACAGTTACCTAAAAAATCAGGCTTCCTTGCACTGATTATAGCACGCAAAGTATAATTGCTGCATTTGCTTACTTTTACCACACTCATTTTACTTTGCCGCATTCCAATATTCCAACCAAACAACACAAAACTGTTTGCTTTTATCGTACACCTAATGCGTGTACGATTGTAAAGCTGGCAACACTTAAAGATAATACGACTACGATTAGCTGGCGCAGTGTCAACATTCAATAATGCTTGGATTTAACCATTGACAAAAAGAATTAAATATAGACTGTCATCCGTGCTGCGGTTACCATAGTTACCGGTACCATAGGTTCTGGCGCACACCGCTGGGAGCACCGTGTAGTTACATAGCGCGTACGCCGTATCTAAATTAACTACAAGGTGCTCCCAGCGGTGTGCACCAGAACCTATGGTATCCGCAGCATTGACACTTCGGGTTTTGAGCACGAGAATGTTAAAACATATTCAAAGTGAAAAGTTTAAACTTGTTTAGGTTGCAAGCAAATAATACAGACTAAAGAAAGTTTCAATAATTTACTGACAAAGTTTTATTGTAAAGATGAAATAAGGTTTGAAAAACTAGGATTTGGTTTTAAACTCGAAGTTTTCAACAAATCTACAATTCGTGTTTTTTTATTTTTTTTTTCAAACTTTCTTCAAAAGCTGCAAACATTTTAGTTGCAAACTGCAGTGTAAACGTGCCTTTACATATGAAGATTATGCTTAAAACAAAATCACGTCCTCCGAGTAATAGGCCAAAATCAAAATAAAAAAATCCGCGTAGCTTTTCGTGGATGGAGATTATTTTGCATTACAGAGAGAATTCCTTATTTATATTTGCCTGTTTATTGGTTATGGTGCCTGGTTATTGGTTTGTTGGTGGTTCTACAACTTTAAGTTAGCTCCCCTAACCACCGGATCGCGGAATCATCGTATAAAAACTGCCATCAATAGACAATAGACAATTCTTTATTCCGTTAAGTTCTAACGCAAGAGGCACTTGCAGTTGTAGAATAGAGTGGAGTTGTATAAGAAAGAATAATAAATTACTTATTTGTAAACATTACTGTCTTGAACTTTATTTGACAATGTGGATTTTACATAGTATTACAACTAAAGCATCATGTTTTGACTAGTAATTGTTATCTTTAACATTCTTACTCTTTAATAAATAACCGCTTTTATAATAAATCGCTGAAGAACACTTATTATACAAATTGATAAATGTTACCTGGTTGTTTACGATTCCGGAAAAATCTCCAGACAACCATCTTGATATGAATAATCACAACTCACAATACACACGGAGTGCAGACCATCCGCACCTGAGCGGATCGGATCCTCGCGAGTCCGGGTCGAGTCGGGGCGAGACTATTCGTATAACTAAAACAATACTTGGGCAATGGCTCAATAACAATGACTCGTGCTCGCGCTCACTCCCACCGTCCCACGCCAACCAACTATTGCAATTTGCAGTACGAAATACGAGTCAACCGAACTAGTTTGATTCGGGCCTGCGATTACGATATTTGAGAACGATATTTTACTGACAGATTTATTTTCCAAAACGGTAACCAAATTTTACAGACTCAACCCACTCTCACCTAACGATTTATTGTAAATGCATATTAGTATATTATTGAATAAAATGTTTATCAAGTAATACGAACATTAATAGTCATATAAAACGATATTAATCGGATCGTTCACGTGCACCTACCCAGTGTAAAACCAAACATGCGCAAGGAAACGAATCGTGATTGTAGAAATAACCACCACGACTTTTGAAAATTTATCAATTTTGATAAGTTTGCAACATCTGCTCTAAATTTGTGTATATAGTAAAAAAAAAAAAAACAAATACAACAGTTGTTAGTGTTTGGGATATAAAAGTTTCTGCACGATCGATGGTAGACCCTTAGTGTGTCATTTTTTAGCTAAAACCATTTTTGTTTGTTTTAAAACAGAACTGTTTGTAAATGGATCCACTATTTCTATTTGGAAATGTACACTAAGTTTAAGAGCTCTATCGTGGTGATCATTTTATAATCTAACCACAAAGTAGTGCAGTATATACGGAGAGCACAAAAAATATATTTTCGAACTTAAGGAGGACGCCTGGTTACAAAAATTGAAAAAACACAGCTATTGAGGAAGTACGTTTATACCTATGATAGTGATATTAATCTTACGCCCGTTTTCTTTAAGTCCTCTTGGTGTCTTGAACCACCTTCGACTGTTTTTTTTTACCGATTTCCCCTGTTAGTTCAGTAGTTTTATTACTATTACCATGGATAAAACCTCAGAGTAATAATACATAATTATGTGTTATGTATTATTACTCTGAGATTAAACGATTAAACTGTTCTCCAGTTTAGTCTAGGCCTATGTCATTATGTCACGGCAGCACCCAGCACCTCTGTTGAGGACCAATGTACGGGATGTTTTATGTTAAAAAGGGTACTTAACAGGAGTATGTCTAAAGTACTTATTTCGTATGTTGATTTAGTAACTGAACTGAATGCAGACATGGATTAAACAAAACACTCCCTCTCAGATTCGCCATACATTAAGGTCAGCTGAAGAAAATATCAAAGTATATTTCCATCCAGTTTCTGTAAAGAGCGTTTTTATGGTTTACTATATGCTACTCAATTTTTAGCGAATTTTAAATCTATTCCAACTGTATATACAACTAACAGTCTATTCTTCAACTATATTATTTAATACCTAACTAAAGAACAGAAATTGTAAAAATCTACCCTTACAATTATATTTGGTTGACATCAGCACTATTAAACAAACAACTTTTGACTGGATAAAGCTCATAATAATTAGCTTATTTTGCAGATTTATTTATGTTAGGGTGTTTATTCTTGAAATAGTAATCGTAGACTAACTAGATAATAATTTAATCTATGGTGTAATCTATTTAAACAAATTTAGAAATAAAGTGGCTACATGCGATTTAATTCAGTGTGCGACGCCAACCGAAAACGAAAAAGGAATCTTTTAAACTCTGAAACTCTCAACTCAACTCAACTTAACCTCCTCAAAATAATACAAAAAACACTTTTTTAAGTAAAGTGGGAAGTTTCATCTTCTTAATATAACTTAAAGTTAACCTTTTATCAATTAATAACATTTAAATTGTCGTTTAGTTTATTAATTTTCCTTGCCTAAACAAACGAATGTCTATCAGTTAAGGAGTTCAGTATTTAGGTTGGCTAAGTACATTATCTTGCATAGGCCTAGGCCTTGTTGTTTTAGAACCATACTTTACCCTTGTTAAGTTATTGTTCAAGTAATAATTTCTTCGCTGAGCTTTAAAAAAATAATAGGCCTAATAAAATTGTTGCAAGATATTTCAAAATGCCAGCAAGTGCAGATGATATTAAAGCTCTACTTCGTGAACGTTTGGAAGCTGTTCATGTGGTAAGTTTTTCTAGCATGCTCGAAGTTGGCTAATGAGTACACTTCCATATCTGTTGGCACAAACAACCGAATGAAAATATCGATCGATATATCGATTATTCGTTAAATCGTTTGGTATTTAGGCAAGGTTAACCTAACCTAACTAACCAAATGATATATCGAATTAAACAATCGAATAATCAATATTACTCATTCGGTTGTTTGTGCCAACAGATATGGAAGTGTACCCTGGCTAATAATAACTAGGATATAAGGTTGGCCAAGTCAGGTGTTGGAACAGTATGTTAATGCTGAATATAACTGGATGTTTTCGAACTCAATCATTAACCCTCCGAGTTTTATGTGTCGTAAAAGCGACTCATAACACATCCGCTGTAGTGTTATGTGTCGCTTTTGCGACTCACAAACACTGTTTATGGCGACGGCTCTGGGACTGACTGAATCGGATTAAACTGGATCGAGTTAGGTATCGTTTTTTTCAGCAGATTCAGAGCTTTCTCCTGATGTCTGTTTCTATACGCTTTTCATTTTAGTTCCGCAAATATTGTAGCAGACAGGTGACGTGCGTATTTGTAAACAGCTTGGTTAACCTCGCACCGATGACTGATGTGTTTTATTACGTTTATCATTGTTTTAGTGTTATAAATCAAAAGTAGTGATATACGTGGTGCATTATAAGAAGATTTAAGTGGTTTTGAAGGGCTGGTTGATGATCCTGAAGAAGTAGGTTGTGATATTGATGTAAATTATCAGCCAGATTCCTAGCTATGGTTAGGCTATGCATTCTTAGCTTAACGCTATGTACCGAAATCTGTTTTTGCCCATAACTTATTTATTTGCAAACCTACTTCCTAATAGCCTATTATTATATTTTTGGAATCCTCATAAAATTCTGAACAAAGTGGCTATTTTAAAATATTTGTAGACCTATAAATTATAACAATTTATTGAGCCCAAACATAAATTTTTTTCATTTATTTTATATTTTTTGAGAAATGTTAACCCCACAAAAATTGTTGAACATTTTTTTTTTATGTTTTGTATGGTAGCCTACATTGAAGCCCATAATTTTCCAAACAAAATTATATATAAAACAGTATACTTTACATTGTTTTTAAGTTTCTAAGATACATTTTAATAAAACCCTGCGATTGCGCAATAAATGGGCGAACATTAAGACCAAAACTAGAGACACTTGGAGGGTTAAAAGAATTTATGTCTAATCACAAATTGCTTAAGAAGGGTACACGATTGTAAAGTGTCTGTTTAAATCCCACTGAACATTATTCAAACTTGGCAGATTTCCTCGAATTGTTATCAGCTACCACTACGAGACTACGGTAATCCTAGGCCTAGCTTGGGGAGCGAGCTGGTGTAGTGGTTAGAGCGCGGGACTTTGGTCCCTGTGGTCCCGGGTTCAAATCCCGTCAAATCATCAATGGATTTTATCTAAGTGATAATGCCGCAACCTTTAAGGACAAAAAAAAAAATCATATGCCTAGCCGTGTGGGAACCAGCTAAGTCAGATGGATGAAGTAAAGTGTACAGTGCTGGTGTCAGATTTGAACTAGCTTGCTTGGTTCGTTGTAGATCTTTACTCTTCAACTGTCCCTAAGTGTAGTGACTTGGCAATTTTTGTGATTTTGTGACTTAGGCTATTAAAAAAAAAAAAAATTCTTGTAGATTCAACCAATAGAGCAAACGTATTGAACCATTATAGGCTTAGTTACGTAGATTGTACCTAGTTTTAAAGAACAAATATGTAAACTGCAGATATTTTATAAATTGGTTTTTTAAATAAAGTGGTAAAATGAAAAAAAAATATTTTTGAAAGTCAAAAGGAAAATTTCTTCAATAAAAGGTCTAGTGAGAGTTTTAAAAAGTAACCCCGCTGTATCAAACCTAACTTGATTGGATTTTCACTCCAATATTTCCTCAAGCCACTTTTACACTAAGCCAGTTGGAGAGCAGGCTACTTGCCTCACGTAACTTTAAACACATTACAGGCAAGTTACCTGCTTCGTAACGTAACTTGCCTGCTTTACTGGCCTCAAGTAAACGCGGCTTAAAAGTTGTCAGATTTATTCCCTATTTAGATCAAAGTTTGTTTTTTAGTAACTTAATATGAAAAAATACATTTGACAAATGTTATAAACTATTTTCCTAAACAAGCAAAGTACAAAAGTTGACTTATTTTCCATAAGAAAAGAATTAAAAATTTAAAGTTCTCTTAACTTTTCTCCTTGACTATTTAAGGTACCGTAGGTTCCTACAACAATGCTTCAATATGCTAAATTGTTTTATTTGTAAGCTCTACAAAATATTTTTGTAAAGAAACTGCAACGTTTTACGTATTAGAGGGGGTGAATGGGAAAATCCCATTATTATCCTATAAAACCCCATTCCTATAGTCCTGCTGGTTCATGAAATTGTTTGAATAAATGTAGGTGTACACGCTTTTACCAAATTTAATGAAAATCGGATAAATTTTACTTGAGTTACCTGATCTTGCTAACGGACACATATACATTTTAACGGATGGCGTTTTTGGCCTCTGAAGACCTCAGTCTTTTTAGTATAACAAAAAAGTAAATTGATCCCAGGGTTAGGCTAGACTGTTTCTCACATGTCCAGTAAAGCAACTAACTGAACAGGAGAACCTACTCTCCTTCACATGACAGTGTCACTATAGCTAGAATAAAAAAAAAAAAAACAATTTACCATTTCTTTCTGCAGAGGGTTAATATGTAGGTTAAGATTATATTTAATTGATGTAATATGTAAAACTACAGTAGAGAGTTAAACAGTTGACTATCCCTATGGGAGTCTACATTGGTAGGCTTAAGCGGACAGTGTAATCACTCGATTTTCGGACTTCCGGTGAGAGCCGTGTCAATTCGGTATATGCACTATGTTCAGCACCAAACTTTTTGCCAATGCTATGATGAGGTATTCTCAATGGCAAAACTGAGTGTCATCCTACCAATCACTAAATGGATTTAGTCTAAGTTACATGCTGCAACCTCTAGGTCTAGCCTGGAGCAATGTACAGCTTGTGACACCTAAGTTGGCACTTGGCCTAGCGCGGACAGTGTAGGCGGGAGGAGGGTGGAGGTAGGGAAAAGACCGGACTGCAAACATTTCTGCTGCCTCAGGGAGCTGACTCCCCTTGTATTATGTAGGCCTACTTGAGCGCCTTCAGATGGGTCACGAGGACAGTTGATGCAACCCGCATAACAGGACATTATGTTTTTGAAATAGGTACTAGTAGCGATCAGCCCAGTACCAGCTTAGATGTCACAAGCTGTAACAAACTACCCCAGTCTAGAGCCTTGTTAAAAAAAAACCCCAATACAGTATTAGACGGGAAGAGGCTGAATCCTGCCCTATATAATAACCCAAATCATTTTAAAGGGGTTGTTATAGTAAATTTATAAAAATACACCTCAGGATTAGACATATAAAATATATTCTAACCAAACCAAATAAAAAAAAAAAATCATGTTGCAGGAGGTTACAGACGACTCAGATGGATGTGGGGCTAAGTTCACTGTACTCGTAGTATCTGACAAATTTGTTGGAAAGTCAAGACTTCAAAGGCACAGGTAAAACTCTCTCAGTAATGCCAATATTTGATTGGGAAAAAATTTTAAATATTTATATACCGGTACCAGTAGAGTCTTGATATCTGACCTTCTGTGTTAATTTTAGGTCCCTTGATATTTTTACATTCATTAATGATGTTCCTAACAATGTATCATCAAACCTAATATGCTGATGACACTACAGCCATAGTAAAAGCAAATTATGTACTCTTAGATTAGAGCTTGATCGTTCAATTTTAGACTTGACTAACTGGTTTGAGGCAAATGGTTTAAAACTTAACAATTCTAAAACACATATTATGCAATTCCAAAAAATTCCAAAATAAACAAAACATAATTTTTGAATATATGAAAATGATGTATGAAAATGATATTTTAGCTTTTGTCGAACATTTGTAGGCTTAAATATTGATAAAAATTTGACATGGTAACGTCACATTGAAATATTAGCTAAAAGTTACATACAGCTTGTTTCCAGATGTATGTTTTAAGAAACATAATAGATTCTAAAACAAAGGTTATAGTTTATTATGCCATATTTTTTCCATTATGCAATATGGTATTGAGTTATGTTATGGGGCTCAACATCATATGCCTCAACTATTTTCAAGATACAAAGAAGTTTTTAAGAATCTTATCATTTAGACACAAAAAAGTCATGTAAACCGCTTTTTGAAACACATGGAATTTTAACAATGCCTTCACTTTACATTATTTATGAACAATCAATTTATTCATCAATACCCAACACGTTAAAAAAATCATTTTGCCTTTACGAAAGATCACCTTACTATATGAGTCTGAGGCTTTACAACGGTCTACCTGCTCATTTAAAAAATGTCAATAATATTGTAAAGTTTAAAAACAATTTAAAATATTCCTTATAAAGAAGAAATATTATACAATAGAAGAGTATTTAAAAATGACTGTTTTTTTAGATTAATTTTAATTCTTAGTTTTAATTTTTATTTTTGTTTGCTAAGAAATGACAATGTCATCTGTTTCACCAGCTTTGCTGGAACTGCGGAATATTTTTTATGACAATAAAGTGATGTTTTTATTATTATTACTACTATCCAACCCCCCTGCCGACAATCAAGCACCATGATATCACAAGCCATTTGTATGTGGTAGCTGTATACTGCGGCGGATTCATCAAGACAACCCCCTACTGCCTCCACTGTCTCGTCCAAAGATACAGTTTGTCAACTGCTAATACCTGCTTACCTTTCTACTACCCCTCACGTCTAGTTACAGTGAGAACAGGGACCTGGCTGAGTTAAAATGCCACCACTCTTTCAAGCCCCCCCCCCCCCAACAATCTTTAAAGGTCAATGACTGCTCGATGTGGCTATCCCGCTCGAACCTCTTTACAAACGTCTACCAATTGTTGTCTCACTTTCATCCAAGAAACTGACTGTAAAAAATGTTGTCTTTTTTTATTTTAATATTCCTTTATATCCACTTAAAAAAAAAACTACATACAGTAAACTCTAATTATACAAATCAATTGGGACCAGTCCCCTTTCGGATGAACAAAAATTAGGATAATTGTATCTATAGGCCTACTGAAATTCAGAGTCTCTTTTTTTAATTGGCCGAGTCATAGCTTTTACTATTGCGATTGCAGAACGCGTCCATGACGATTTGGCGATCAGAAAATGTATGCTTCCGCCACGATTGCGGAGTACGATTGTGATTTCCCGTGACCGCGGTCGATCAACAAGACCGTTGATATATTTAACACTTTGCCGCGATCGTGACAAACAAAGACAATGTTACCACCACTGTGGGAAATGATGATAGTATCAACAGAACCATGGGATGTATTTATAATTTTGCCGTGAGCACCAAAAACAATGACGATGTATACGTGACCGCGAGAGACGATGATTGTGTCAACACAGCCATGGGATATATTTATCATTTTGTCACGACGCGAAAAACGATGGCGATGTTACCGTGATAGTGGGAGACAATTGATAGTCTCTAGACGAACGTGGAATATGTTTATCATTTTCCTGTGATGGTGAAAAACAATTACGATGTTTCCGTGAACGCGGGAGACGATGATGGTGTCAACTCGATCGCAAAACAGGTTTTGGATTTTGCCGCTATCACGGCTTCGGCCTTCTTTAACCCTTCGCGGACGGGTGACGGATATATCCGCCTAAGTCTTTGGTGATAAAGGACGAGTGACGGATATATCCACAAATGGTTTTTGGTTATATCCGCCTTCTCTTCAGACAGACTGGCCACTGGCAGGTGCAAGAGGAGTAACCAGATGTTTCGCGGTACCAAGGCGCCACTTTCCTGCTCTTTCCATGACTGCGCTCTCCCCTGTACTCCCCCCTCTCTCCCGTGCCAACCCCTCTCCTGCGCCTCACCCCCTCCCACACACCTACCACCACTCCTACGCTCCCCCCTCGACGTTTCGCGCTCAACATTACGTTGTCTTTATTTATTGTTTACATATTGTTCTTCTTTATTTATTGCCTAATGTTGTCATGGTCATATCTTCAAAGACGGGTGACGGATATATCCGCTGCATTTCTACTCATCCGCGGACGGGTAGCGGATATCCTCATAATTAAAAACGAGAAAAAAATTATTTTGACAGTATAATGTGTTCCACTGTGTTTATTTTATGTATACATGTATAACAAAACACAAAAATTAAAAAATTAATTTTTATTTTTTCCTCCAATTTTTTCCTGTCCTATGTCATGATTGCCCGTCCGGGAAGGGTTAATAGTGATTCTTATTACTGTTGTTTTAAATTTCAAACTTTTCTGTAAGCAATTCGGATGATTGGCGGTTCGGATAATTGGAGCTCTACTGTAATAGTGTGACTGTTTTGAGTCTGTAGGAAAATTTTGAATCATCTGATGTAGTCTAAATGACCTCTATGATCTGGTTTCCTCGAGATCTCTATACTTCCTACCCTATATTGCTTTACGTTTACATATTCAGTAATGTACTGTAATACAGTAGTAAACTCTTTAATTAAATAATTATTATTCATGGGTACTGTAAATTAAGCATTTTCAAAAGATAGAACGATAACCTGATCACAGATAATTTTATTTATGCAGGCGCTTAACACTGTACAGTTAAAATTGCTGTACTGTCAAAAAAATTAGATCAATATAGTGATGCTTTACATTGGCATAAGAGATGATTGGCATTCTGAATGGCTGGAATCCAAACTACAAAGTTTACACATTTTTAAAACGTACACAATGAATGTTCATGTAACTGATTTTTGGACAATTGATGCTCTACTGTGTTGTCTGTAATCACTGAGAATTGTTATATTTTTTGAAAAATGTTAAATGTAAGCCAATACTCTTGGTTAAAGATTGTTAGGCTTAAATTTAAACCTACTCAGCTTACGATAGTTAATTGATGTCAAGCCTCGGGAGTTAAATAAGCATTAAGAATTGAGAAATACTTCCAGAAAAGGGATCAAATTATTTTGAAGTAGACCTAGTACCTACTGTAAAAGGCATTTCCCTTAAAATCGAGTTGCAAGAGCTGTTTATTTTCTTTCACATTAAAAAAATTCCTATAATTAGATTAAAAAGTTATCTGAAATAAAACTAATTACTACATCAGTCAACACATGCTGTAAGGAGATTTTATCTAACCGCGGTTTTATAAAAATGCAACTATGAGTAACTTCTAAGGGAAATATGTTTTAGTGTCAGTGAAGGATATAAATAGTTATTTTTAATGTATTTTAGGTTGGTACACGCGGCTTTGGCTGAAGAACTGAAGAGTATTCATGCCTTTTCACAACAAGCAAAGACAAGTGAAGAATGGGAAAGTTCAAAATGAAATTTGAAATTTAGCCATAATTTTTTACTTACATAATAAATACTTGTATTTAAGAAACATTTTCTATTGATTTATTACTTCCTGTTCTATTTTTTTAACTGATTTGTGTTATTTAATGAATGTCCTGTGTAACACTGAGAAATGTTCATTGGACCCGCACATTCATTGTCGTAGAAGTTAATCCTTGTTGAAATATTTGTTGTCCATGGTGACAATTAGAGGGTATATTTAGTATGTTTTGACGAATCGGTCTGCAAAAAGTGAAAAGAAAAAGATAACTCCCCCAAACTTTCTAGGATTTTTGCTACGAAGCTCAAAAATAGTGGTTGGATATAAGTCTGACTTAGGCTAGTAATCAAATTAGCACATCTAAAAAAACCTAGTTCTGTTTTATTATAATTAATATTACCAATGAGCTAGTTTGAATATTAATGTAAACAATTTACTTGAAAAAATAATATGTTTATTTTCCACATACTATACAGCATTAACAAAATACACACTTTTAAATACATAAACAATTATAAAATATAAACTAAGATTAAAATAAAAAGTTAAGTGTAACTAGTAGGCGAAGTGGCTTTTTGCTGGAGACGAGAGAAATGTTTACGCACGAACCGTAGGCAAGTGTTGAAAGTTTCTCTAGTGCAGCAAAGGCAGTTTGCACTCGCGTTACACGTTATATTTTTCCTACAGTTACTATAAAGCATATAAATCTTTCAGAAACTGTACAACATGTTTTTAGGTTATAGGTTAAATCCAAACATTGAACGAAATTGGAAACGCTGCACCAGCTGATCGTAGTCGTAATAAGTGTTGCCAGCTTATTTTTTAAGCGTATACGGAATACGTGCATAATAAAAGCACACTGTTTTGTATTGTTTGGTTGGAATACAGATGTGCGCCAAAGTAAGGCTTTCTGTACCATAATCTGTGCAAGGAAGCCAACTTTTTTGGGTGATTGTAGGAAAAAGAACATTTCTGCATTACTTGACAGAAGAAAATCAGCAGACATAGACAAGTGCTGCCTGTGCGTCTGCTGGGTTGCTATTAGAAATTTAAAAAACCAAATCCTATGGAGTTTTGAAAATTAAAGTGAACTGTTGATAAAAAAATAATAATAATAATTTAGGGCAAATATTTATGTATATTGAAATTTTTACTTGATATAAAACAAATTGAACAAAATACAGTTTTGATCAGGTGGGGACTATACCTAATGGATTCATGCTGGCCCAGGACAGAAGGGGCAAGAGTCAGGTCAAACGTGCCCATCTGATGATAACGTCGGCCTCATCTATATCAAGCCCGAATAGAAATTTGTTGACGTAGTTTGAAAACATTAAGGGAAGGTGAATAAAAAAGTGTATCATTACTAAAATGAATACAGATATTTCAATGGGGAATATTGGAGATATAGAAAGAGTTAGCTTTAGAGAAATTATAATTTATTGGAAGTGAAGAAATGCCTAATCGTGAGGAGTAACGGGTACTATGAGAGTGAGTTATTCCATGAAATATATTAGAGTGATTTTTAAAGATGTTTATTAATAGGATGTTTAATGAATAACTGTTGAATGGTGAGAATTGATGATTCCTCAAACAGTGTCACTAGAGTAACGTTAGCATTAGCCAAAACCCACTTTTAAAATAGTTTTCTGAGCAACGATTAAAGGTTTGAGAATACTTTTATAACACCTACCCCATGCGATGATGCCAAAGGTCAGCAACAACTGGACACAAGCAAAGTATGCCATTTTTAGTTCCTTAATAGATAGCATTCATTCATCTGTTTGAAAGCAAAAATATATTTCCGAATTTTGTTTCTGACAATAACAGTATGAGGATTCCATTTCAAAGGCTCGTCAAAAAATACTCCCAAATATTTCTATGAGTCCACTTTTTCAATGTTTTTGCATAGACATGTAGTGCTTTGATGGTTATTACAATTAGGAATAATTAAATTAGGTAAATTAAATTCAGTACTTTTACTTATGGATATTGGCATGAATTTTGTCTTGGATACATTTAACAAAAGAATGTTTTGATTGATCTATCGTTTTACAATTTATAAGATCATGCGTAGCTTTATCTCGTACCTCGGGCCAAGTCTTCCTCTGAAGGAAAATTAAGGTATCGTCAGCAAGTAGAAAAATTTGACCTAAAATGTTTAATTTAGACATGTTATTTATATATAATAAGAATTAAATTGATGTGAATTACTAATAATTTCACCAAATCATTCAGAATTAAATGTTTTTAATATATTACCAAATCAGAGTAAAAAAACCAACTTCTTCCAAATAGGGATGAACAAGGAATTTTCTAAGTAGTGAAAGTTTGGAAATTATCTTGAGCTACAAAAATAACAAGAGGATATAAGAAGTTCACCGAAAACCATTATTTTCATTTTAAGGCTGGATTGTTTTTCACATTACTTCAGGCTAAGCCTAGAAAGTTACGGCATAGCACATGGATAAAATCCCTTGGTGATTGGCGGCAGGGGCGGATCCAGATGGGGGGCACATGCACCCCCCCTCCCAGAAGCCATGTAAAGTGGTAATTAATTATAAACCCATTGATCCCATTTTAATAAGATTTATAAAACTTAATATCAAAAATATTTCTTTACAGTTGTCTAGGTAAAAAAATAAATCAAAGGTAAAATACTAAGTAAAATGCAGTAAAAATATAGTACAATAAAAAAGCATATAAATAGTTAATACCCCCGCCGCAGCATATCTGCAGACAAAGCAAATATTCCATTTGCCTAATTGGATCTACACTAAAATGTCTCCTCAAAAATATCACATTTATTCCCTATTTAAATAGCATTAGTTTAACGAGTACTCTAGGTTTGCTGCAACAGGGAGGGTAAAAAAGTTTTTTGGTAAAATGTTAATAGTTTAGTATGAAATCAAAGCATTTTCCAAATGTGATCAAAATATGCTCATAAACAAGCAAACAACAACAGTTTTCTTATTCTCCATAAGAATAACATGGGAATTTTAAATTTACATTTCTTTTTTTTCCGTAACCATTAGGCACAAAATAATGCTTCAATATACTTAACTATTTGTTTTTTTAAGCTCTACTAAATGGTTTGGAAAGAAATTGCTAATTTTTATGTTTTAAGGGTTAAAAATGAGAAAACCATATTTTTACCCCATAAAACCCCCCATAAACCCCCGTTCCCATGGTCCAATCATGCTGGTTCGCGAACTTCTTCAAATAAATGTAGGTTTACACGTTTGTACCAAATTTCATCAAAATCGTATCATTTTTGCTCGAGTTATCGTGGTAACGGACACATATATACACGGTTACAAAAAAGTCTGGAAACGGCTTAATATCTTTTTAACCAAATCCGTTAGAAAATCCAAACCTTTCACATCAACTTATATGTATGAAAACTACTTTTTGGAAGCATTACCATTTTTTGACCTTCACCAGGGGACGACCCATGAGGAGTAGGTACATAATCTTTAATGTAAGCATATGTTGATATGCACATCATTTTAAAGGGCTGGTCAAGTGGAGTTCATTGCTGAAAACCGCGTCTCAAAAGGTTTATCCGTTACAAAATGGCGGCTGTCCAAAGTTCTTGCAGAAAATACCTACAAATATTGGTAAATACTCATAGTCAACATTAGCCGGCAAAGTCAAAACCCAGGTAAATTTGTGTTGAAGATTGAATAATATTAGTCTATGACATAGTTGACTTTAAAATACAATTTCGGCTCTCTTGCAAATGTTGAATACAAGTATTTACCAATACTAAGGCCTGTGCAGGTATTTAGCGCAAGAACTTTGGACAGCCGCCATTTTGTAACGGAAAAAACCTTTTTTGAGACGCGGTTTTCGGCAATGAACTTCACTTTACCAGCCCTTTAAAATGATGTGCATATCAACATATGCATACGTTAAAGATTATGTACCTACTCCTCATGGGTCGTCCCCTGGTGAAGGTCAAAAAATGGTAATGCTTCCAAAAAGTAGTTTTCATACATATAAGTTGATGTGAAAGGTTTGGATTTTCTAACGGATTTAGTTAAAAAGATATTAAGCCGTTTCCAGAATTTTTTGTCCCCCTTTATATGAATTTGAACGGTTGGTGTTTTTGGCCTCTGGGGATCTCAAAACAAAAAAATAAATCAGTCCCGGGTCCAGGTCTTACCAAGAGTACTACGGTAATAGCTTATTCCCTATATGGGAAATTCGCTAAAAATCAGAGAAACCACCATCGTTATATGAATTTTTGTCTGTTTACATTAAAATAGTCCTAAAAATAGTGGGTTCATTGACTAAAATTACGAAAAATCCTCGGGGGAGCACCCCCCCTCCTTCCTCGGGGCGATACCCCCCAGATCCCCGTGCCCCCCCCCCCAAATGAAATCCTGGATTCGCCCCTGATTGGCGGAATTTGAACCTAGGAGTTTGGGTACCAAAGTTCTGCGTTCTACCACTAGACCAGCTTGCTCCACCATCTTTAAGCATTGCTGCCAGTAGCCTAACAATACATATCCAGTATTAGCACACTAATTTGACCATACTTTTCAGGGTTTGGAATATGAGTTTCCACAAATTGTAAAAAATACAACATGACTTAAAACTTAAAACTAAAAGGTTATTTTTTATATTCTTCAAAACAATTTTATAGCTGTCTAAAAACTGATCCAGAAGATGTGCCATTGTAGTGGCATATGCCCAGTAGGCTACAATATAAATTTCTCAATGTTATCCTTCAACAATTAAGTAACTGCTATGGTTATTTTTTTTTTTATTTAGAGTCTGAAAAGAAATTGTCCCTGAGGTTTTGATACTTTTCAAACCTCAAGAGAAGATTCAAGATATTTGAGCCGTTTGGCGTTTGGTCATAAACGATTGGACAAGTCGCTGAAACAAAGATGCAATTCCTATTGACTATGTTTGGAATAAGAATACAATAAAATATTTGAAAAAAATATTGATGAACAGGTCCCAATTATTCACTTAATACCAGAATTAATTATATGGCTAAGAAAACAGATTTTGGTAAAATCGATGCT